TGTGATGAGAGAGATAGATATATAGATGGAAAGAGAGAGAGAGAGAGAGAGAGAGAGAGAGAGAGAGAGAGAGAGAGAGAGAGAGAGAGAGAGAGAGAGAGAGAAAGAGAGAGAGATGGATGTACCTTGCATCTCAGTGACTTCCTCATTAGCAGGTGTTTGTGGATGATGTGCAGTTTGCCTGTCTCCTCAGGCTGGAACTCTGGAACATTCAGCCTGTTGGGCAGTTTGGTAGCTGGAAGAAAAAAAAGACAGAAAAAGCAGTGCAATATCAATTACATCTACTTCAACTGGTCAAATTCTTATTTCTCATCTACTCTTATATAGACCATATCTCATCTTCCCAAGTGTCCCAAAAAAAAATTAAAACACAAACACACACACAGTTATGAAAAGACTTTCAGCTACTTCACCCCTGAGGGCATGCAATGTTTTGAAACTGTACACACTTGAATCACTACGTACTACACTCTAATAAGTATAAGACTACAACTTTGGCATATTCATAAGCCTGAAGTTTCCACTCGGTAAGTGCTGGAACAAAACAAAAAATTTTAAAAATCTTCAAATGAATTTTAAAATGTGGAGCAGAAAAAACCCATGCACGGCATAGACTTACTCTTATCAAGAGCTGCTGGCTGAGTGAAGAAATCATTAGGCAGAGGCTCAAAACTGTCCACAGTAGCACTGGGCTCCAGCTCTCCAAGCACTTTGTCACCATCCTTTTGGCTGAACAAAGAAAAAAAAAAGGGAGGAAAAATTTATTTTTAAAATTCAGAGTTGAGTTGGAAGTAAGGGCAGGCTGAAAAAATAGTTGCCATTTTAAGTTTCGCAATTCCATAACACAAAGAAAACCGAAAAAAAAAGAACAGGAATTTTTTTCATCTTCTAGGAAACAATAACAGGGGGCTCTCGTGGCATAGAGGTTAAGGTGTTGGCCTCTCATTCAAAAGTCCCGGGTAGCGATCGAAAAATTTTCTTCTCTAAAATTATCTCCTTTCACCTCCTTTCCTGCTCTCTAGCAATGTTCTGTTGTCTGCTTTCATTTCCACTTTCTGCCCCCACCCCCTTTGCCCCCTCCTCTGGGCTCCTTTCTGCAGCCTTTCTACTGCTACTCCTTGGCTCCTCCTTACTGCTGTCTTTCTGCCACATCCCTGATCTTCTGGTAGGAAAGATCTACACCTAGCCTTCTCGGACAAGGGCGAAAAATCTCGGAGGGCCCGTGTGCAAGTTGCGTACGTTAAAGATCCCTTGGTGGTCTAAAATCGATAAGAGTAGGCTTCGGCCGCCACCCGGACAAAATTCCAAATTTCCTACCAACTGAAAATATTAGGTGTGTCCCGCGCGTTCATATGACCTATGCAGTTGCGAGCGCCGTAAAACACTTTACAAAAAACAAAAAACAAAAGAAAAACAATAACAAGCACACAAAATAATTTGAAGGTCACATAATGCACAACATAATACACACACATACAGTATTTTATCACATGTCAATGCTTGTCATCCCTGTTCAAAGCCCAGAACTAATTTGTATTTGAGTCAACTGAGGAAAATAGAATAAATTCTTTCAAAGGACACAGAGTCCAGTCTGATGTAGCCAGGACTATGCCCTCCTGCTCAAACAGGACACCTTCCCAAGTAACAACCACCTTCCCTATGGTACTACAAAGGAGTCAGTTGAAAGCTCTACCACATAATTCAGACTGTACAGAGAAGATTTCAAAAGATCAAAACAAAAGTACAAGTTTATTTACAATTTGCCACTGAACAGCATTAGGGTCCTCTCAGGATTCAACAAAAATATTTTTTTACTGATAGCTGTCAAAAGGAATCAAAGTACTGACAGACGTAAGAAATAAAAAGCATCATTCTAAAACCACTCGAGAATAATAAAGAAACAGGAGATGTGGTCTAAAGAATGGCAACAGTTGCAGATGGGTGTTATGTGGGAAAAGAAGGAGAAAAACAAGTTTTATTTATGGAATGAATTCAATAACACTCACCTGAGGCTGGCCAGACTTGAAAGCCCTTTGCGCTTCATTGCAGAAGATGGAAGCCCATACTTCTCCTAAACAACAAGGTAAATGTCATAAATGTATATCATGCGAACTTTTTCAGGTCATCTGTACATTCAGCTCAGACAGTAAAGACAACTGATATAAAAACATAGAGCACATGGTATGCAGAGTACCGAGTACCTTTGTTATGACTCAGCAACTAATCCACTTGAGTCCAGTCCTTTATCCATAAAGTGTATAATGTGCAAAGCTTAGATTTTTTAAATACCATATTCAAATGATAGCAAGTCAGGCATTTGATTACAAAGCAAGTTTAACATGTGAAACTATATAAAGTTCACATTATAAGTAAAGCTAAAATTGGGATGCTTACTTTATATTAAAACTTACGTTTCCCCCCAAAATAATAACAAAATTACAACTAAGCCATACCTGTAAATAAAGATGGCTGCGTCTTTTCACATATTTCTTTCGCTCGCGTTCCGCCTTTTCAATCTGAGCCATTGCACGGTAATTATCAAGGAGGGTAGAGATCTGAAAAGGAAACTTAGGGCTATGACTATGCACACAAGATTTAAAACATATAAAATACATCATAATTATCAAACCAAGAAACTTGTTTGACAATCTGCATATTGACAGAACAACTACATTCATTCCTACCATGTTCTTCTTCATAAACAAAGTTTTGGAAGTCTGATTTTTCTCATCAAATTTATTACAACTCCAACAGGATTTTAAAAAATTCCTTTTGATCTACTCCACATATTTCATGTTCAAATTTTTGAGAAATGACATAAAAAACATGAAACCGACTATGTTACAAAAATAGAAGTTTGTCAAGCAACTCACAATTCTTGAACAATGTAAAAATTATGATTTTAGACAAGGGAATAAACGTACACCAAAGACTTTAAATAAAACCTAATTCTTACTCAAATCTATGGAAGCAAGAAAATGTCTTAACTAGATGTCTTAACTAGATGTCTTAACTAGCAGATTCGTTAGCTTGATGTACATACCCTTTTCGAATTCGGATTTTCTAGCTCTGGCCAGTTGCCTGTAGCTGAAAAAAAAAGTAAAAAGAAAAAAATATGTGCTGTGTTCTGTCCATAGATGAATCATTCCAATTACATTATTTATTATATTTCAATTGCCACCACTAATCTACACCTCTTCTCAAGTTACTTTTAATAAGCTTACCTCACTATTATCTATCGAAACTAGAATGAAATACCTCTTTTAGGAAGAGAAATGCAAGAACTAAATCATCAAAATCAATGCTACAGGTAATACAAAAACCATACACTGAATTGCACTGAACACAGCAAAAACTTAGTTTTAGTTGGTTCTTTTAGAGATATTTCTAGGCTTCCTACTCGCTGATCAGCTCTACATTAATCGTGTCTTTAATTGAAGTATCACATAGATCAAAATTTTGCAGTTTAAAATCTGACGATAGACATGCAACAAAATCAGTTAAACCATATTTGCAACCGGGAGTAAAAAAAAGCACATCAACTAGTGCTTGTTCGTGTTTGAGTTGAACCAACACAACCATTTCATTTTCACAAATGTAAAGAAGAAGAGTGGTAAGACCCAAGATAAAGATCAACTGAAGCGACTTCAATGCAAATGAAGTCATCTGTTTGATAAAAATATCTATCTTCGAACATATATCAGCAAGAAGACTACTATATGATCTAGAAAATCAAAAAACATTTCTATCATACACACGCGAGAAGTGTTGAAAGCCACATACCAACACTCTGATCAGGTAGATTGACATCACGAGTCGTCCAACGACAGAACCCACAGGCCATGTAGTACATCTTCTTTGTGATCACCTTGGTCGGATCCTCCGGGTTGGGTGTTGTGTGCGTGGTCGCACGTGTCATCAGCGTGTGTCCACACACAGGGCAGTCAAAACAGTTGGAGCATCTGAGGGAACCATACAAATTAAATTAGGGCCTATGCATGTAGACCTAGTAAAACACACTAATCTAAAGAAAAGTGTAATTCTTTTTAAAATGATTTTTAAAACCTTTCACAGTAAGCATGACTATGTGAAACAGTCTTCAACTTCTGTAGTTATACTATAAAATATGCTTTAAAACGCGACCACAATTAATCTAAAAACAGCGGTAAACCAAAAGAAAGTAGATTCCCTGATATTTTTCTTCACATTTTAAAAAATTTAAACAATCTCGCTACACTGAAGAAAATCCAGCTGTCCCCTAGATTTTGGTTTAAGGTTTAGCTGATTCCACTGAACATAACATAACATTTATCAAAACAAATCACATGAAATTTCCACTCGATCTTACAACGATTTTTAAAAATCCTGAAATATGTGAGCATTTCTAAACATCAATCCCAGATAAACCATCAAACAAATGAGTCTCATTTTAAGACCTCTATGCCTAAATATATTCAAAATGCGTACATGATTCAGTTCACATTATTGCATTCATTAGGAACAAAAGTGTGTGTATAATCACAAGTCTTACCTGTTTTTCTTCAGCTTAGCCTCACCAGTTGGCATGGTCTCCAAACAGTTGGGGCAATAAGGTGTGTCAACCTAGAAAAAGGAAATTGTCAACGCTGAATAAAAAAGATATACTTATACACAGTGTACACTACAATAAGTTCCATATTATCACTAAATTTAGATTTGATATGGTTTGTCAATACATTTGAGGACAGCCACATTTTCCTTCAAGGAAGAACAAAAGCTACCATTTTGATTGGGATCAGCTTTGCTACTGAACACTAATGGGATCCTTTTATAAGTTACTAGAGGGGTAGCCCTAAAACCTAACCCTTATTAACCCCAAATCTATTCTTTGGACGGCACGGTCCATTATTAAAGCAGTTATAAAGGTTAAGAAATTAGTTCTCAATCCTTCCCCTTACTTTCTTACTTTTGCTAAATCCAGCAAAAATAACATTCCAAACTGGAAGAATGCCACATTGTGACATGACTGTACTTATCTAAATCTTTTTCTATTTGATTTAGGCCTAATTTTGTCACAGATTCCTTCGGAGCCTGACTGAATCTGTCGAAGACCAAGCTAAATGATCAGTCTAATTCTCAAGGGTTTTCAGTTTCAGGCTGACCTGGCCCCTGGCTGACCATTCACAAATATGCCCAGGGGTTAGAACAGATTCCAGAGAGTGGTAAATAGGTAAACATCTTCCCTGGCCTATAATTTTAACTTACTTGAGCCTATTCCTGAGTATATACAGCACGCACCACTGGCCCAGCAGCCAAATCCCGTGTATTTATTAAGGAAGCACTTTATCGATCGAATAACTCCGATGTTTTTCGGTTACAAGCTGCCAGTAATAGAAAGCCAACAGGTGACCCACTTGTTTCGTTTCCTTTAAAATTTGGTAAAGTTTTGTGAGATCCTTTTTTAGCTGTAGCGGACTAAGTAAGTCACCCCTGCATTGCGATAGATCAAGATGATTTTATTACAAATTGCGTAACCCCCGGACATTGTCTTGCCATTTCAAAATGGAAGTATTAATTACAAACTAAAATTTTATTTGCAAATCAGTACTTTTTTTGCTTTTTGTCAGTCTAGCCATCATTAAGTACTGCTAGCCTTCCAGTTTCAAATTATTTATAAAATCAAATCTATTCGCACAAATTAGAAGCAGTTTTCTTTTTTCTGTGAGAGCATTTCATTCTTTGGCTTTAAAAAATAAATATGAGAGCTTTCACAGTCTTTGTGGGGTTAACGATTCAATACATTATATATGGCTAGATCTACCCCAAAACTGTCTGGCTGCCTGCAGGAAATTGCAGCAAAGATCGTGTTTGTACCAAGATGTTTCAATTGCCCTATCTCGTGTCCGTGCGAGACGTGGGTGCTCCCTTGTGCTAGTGCGTTATGGCCCGTGATACCAAAGTAAACAAACGTTCCAGCGCTCTTGAGTTGAACGTGTGCAATTTGTCTGCGGGCAGTGAGAGAGAGAGAGGGGGGGGGGGAGGGAGAGAGAGAGAGTGAGAGAGGGAGAGATGGGGGGGGGGGGGGCTAGAAAGAGGGAGAGAGAGAGAGAGAAGGGGGGGGGGAGAAAAAGAGAGGGAGGGAGAGACAGAGAAGGGGAGGGGGGAAGAAAGAACGACAGAGAGAGAGAGAGGAGTTTGTTATTATAATAAGAATTATTGTTTCTTGTCATTTTCTCTCTGTGTCGGTTTTCAGGCTGACCCAGTGCTATACAGTCATTATTGTACACATTAATATATGACCAGTTCCATCTTCTGAATCCCACATTGTTTCCTATCTCTCATCTTTGTTTCCCATGTACCGTATCCAATTTTTCATATCCCATATCCCAATTTTAACTCTTTCCTGACGTAGTTGTTTTGGGGTCTAGACGTAAATACCTAGTGACTTAATTCGGCTACACAGGTCCATCACTCAAAACGTAACATATATGCCATGTATATCAAACAAATTGAAGGAAATTGAATAAGGAATACATTCCAACATGAAACAAGGATTAATTTTGAACATAAGTATGCATTACAAGGGTTAGAAATGGCGATGGTGGTGAGAAAAATACATTTTGACAGAAAAAATTACACACACTAAACATGTGAAAGCAAATCAGCATAGATAGCTCTATCTTATCCTATACAGGCCAAGAGCAGACTCCATAAATTTTTGACTGTGCAGCTTTTTATTTGAATGCAATATTTTTGTTTGAGTTATGATATATACTGAGTCCCGTTAGATCATTTTTTTGACGCAAGACTGCAAGATCTAATTCCCTCGTTTTTCGCCAGACCGACGCTTTGACAAAGTGAAATTTGGATATTTTCATTTCCTAAACCCTCCAAGTTTTCAATAAAAATAAAATTACTTATAAATAATGGATAATGTTAAAATGAAACAAAACTGAGGCACCCCATTATAGCCGATATATTGGCGAAACGTCCGTAAGGAGTGTGGACTCGCGCCAATATATCGGCGATACATCCAGAACGAGTTTATTCTGTAAGCCCGCTTCGCTTTCCTTCATCTCATGGGGTGGAACACTTGAAGCAGGCCAAAATATTGAATAATAATAAATATATATATACATCACTGTCGCCAATGTCCAAATCAGATGTGCTGTTCAAGAACATGTTTTCAACCAAGATTTAATACTGTTTTTTCGGAATCAAGGCTTGGTCTCCATGAGATTTCTTTGAGGTGTATCCTCTTCGGAAGCGAGTTTATTTTTACTTTCCCTAATATATATATCGAAAACGCTCCCTCTCGAGAGAAGTAATGTGACTCTCTTTACACAGCACCAGTCGTCGTATTTCAAGGACCCAGATGATGGGGAAACAACTAGTAGTTGTTTGATATCACTAAGAAGAGGCAAAGACAGTTTGAATCTGCCAGACATTGTTATAAGAGATCGTAACATCAAGTCTTGCAGAAACTGTAAAGCAAGACTGCATTACAGTGTTGCCACAATATATTCACTTCTTAAGTTGGACAAAGAAATAATTTACTCTCATTGCACGTAATGTCATTATATTGTCTGGTAATTATGTAATTAATATGATGTCGACCAAGGACAACGAGCTAGACTAACTACGACACTGAGACCAATCTTAACCATCCTTGCGATATGAAATGACTTGACAGCAAACTTTATGAGTTTGATCGGTGAACATCTTGCTGCTTAAAATCATTAAATAATTTTCCTCGTTTTTGTTTGTTGATTTTCAGTTTTCTTTTCTTCCTTCAAATCCACCCTCCCAACCCCAACCCTTTATTTTTCCTTTTTGTTCTTAAATTGTTTTTGTGAGTTGATTTTTGTTATAAATCTTTCAATCTCAGCAATTCTCGTTCCATAGATTTTTAACCGGTACCATTCTGTACCTCCTCTTTCCTCCCCAAACAAAGTTGTACTGAAGTGGGGACTCCAAACAGCCGTGGCCAAGTTGTACACACACGTGCGCGCACAAACACATAGGAGGCTACACACATATAGATCTAGATTTATACACAGACACACACACACACAAACCCCAAGCAGCCGGCGATGAAACCAACCTCGCGTCGCCTAGTGACATAGCCCATCAAGCGCTATGCAGCAAAGTGAGCCCACCACAGCGTAGACAAAATAACCCCAAAGAGGAAGTGTGGAATGTCTTTTTAGAAGAGAATGATCGTCCGACTCGGTTGCCTCAAAACACAAACGTGTTTGTTTTCAGTTTCAGGCGACCGAGGCAGGTGATCGGCCAGATTCAGTCGTAATGGGCACCCCGTATTTGATTGCAGGTTCAAGTGTTGTTGGGTGAAAAAAAGCTCAGGTCCAGTGAATGGATAGAATCTAAGGCCCCCTAAGGACTGACGGCTAGACTGGCAGTCTAGCCGTACTTATTTTAAATATGATGGCTAGACTGACCATTTAAAAAAAATAGGCCTACTGAATTGTAGTGTAATAAATTATTAGTGTGCAGTACCTAAAGTATTTGTATTTGAGACGAAACCAGGTGCCTTAAGGACAGTGCTTGTATTTTAAACCTCCTGTTTTCTAATGTTAATAGGGCCTAAGATAAGTACGGCTAGCCTGGCAGTCTAGCCGTACGCAGTCTAGCCGTACTTAAGTACGGGTAGACAGCCTGGCTAGCCGTACTTAAGGACGGCTAGACTGTCAGGCTAGCCGTACTTTACATTGATGGCTGAATTGTAAATGAAATGTTTAGTTTGCAATGCCTAAAGTATTTGTATTTCAGACAAAACCAAAAGGTGCCTTACTGACTTGCATGTATTTGAACCTGAATAATTACTAGAATCTAGATCTAATGAGACCTGTGTACTTAACAGGCTTGAGTCGATAGGGCCAAGCCTAGATTTAAGTACGGCTAGACTGGCAAGTACGGCTAGACTCTCAGTCTAGCCGTACTTAACCCTAGAAGCGCTCAGCGTTTCACCGGAAGTAACCCGCCAAAAATGCCCCGCTGCCACGGACGATCAGTTGTAAACATGGGGGTTTGGCGGGGAGAAACAGCTGAGATACCATAAATGTATACCTGCTACTGAAAAATGACCATTTACGACTCAACGGATGATAAAAAGCATAAAAGCATATATATTTTCATTAAGCTGATAGAATGATGAGCCATTCAAAAATGATCAGCGATCAAATAAATACAAACAAAGCCGAGAACGGGATAGACTCAACAATTAGTACATGAGCACGGCGAAACAAGTTATAACACATAGCGTGTAGTTGCTCAGCGGGACCGCGTCACTTTATCGATCGATATCTCGGCCAAGAGACGCTCTACGAGGCCAAGATAACTTGCAAAGTCATTGGTCACTATTTATTACTTTGGCCTGTAATTGACTACGTCATTTTCCATATAAGGAACACTGGAATTTTCCATTGAAAAGGGTCAGCGTCTATGCCCTTTATATAGGGCCTGCACGCTTCCCGGTCGAAGTAAGTCAGCCCTATATATAGGGCGTGCGCGCTTCCCAGGTAGCCCGGCTCACGCCCTTTATATAGGGCCTGCGCGCTTCCAGGGTTGACCCTTTTCAATGGAAGATGATTTCAGGGAATAGTGCTGTTTTATCAGGATGTCTATTTGTGAGAGACGCATTTCTTGCCACTTGGCAATGTAAGGTTCTGGGTTGAATTCTTTGATCTCAGGACCATTGGGACATATAATTAATATAGGCATGATATCATCTTTTCAAGCATATCTCTGGAAAGCAAATGCCTTCAGTCACCGAGGATGCGCCTCTTCAAAGAAAACAGGGATTATATGAGAGCCAAATGAGACAGATTGGGAAATTTCCTTGCTTTTTTCAAGACTGAAGCCCTGACTTTCGGAGAGAAACATGAGCCACTCTTTCTTTATTTTCAGTGTTGAGCATCCTTGGTGTTGAAGCACAGTCTCATAATGAGCTATCAAGTCATCCATCTGTGTCTCATCATATTCTTTTAACTCATCAATTTGTCAGTTTCAGACACATTTGTCCTGTCAAATATCCCTGCACTCTTCAAAACTTTATCTTTTGATGTGCCTGAAAATCTTTCTTCCAAGCACGGCACCAGTTTATCCAACACATCTTTTATGTTTGTAATCATCACACTTGCACTTTCTCTCACATCTACAGTCTTCTTTTTCATCAGATCTTTTTTCAGACACTGCTGAGGTTTGGTTAATGTGAGTGTGTTTGCGCTAGCCATGACAAAATGGACCCAATGGTCAAGCTGAGCAGAGTCTGACTGAAGCTTTGATGAGATTTCAGACAAGTCAAACAGGATGTCTTCATACTCTCTCTCTCTCTCTCTCTCCCACGTGTGTATCTTAAAAATTAAAAATAATCAATAATGCCCCCCCACCCCCCATTCCGGTGTCCCATACTTCGCGGCGTTCAGACTTTGAATGAACTTTGGAGACCCCAACAACCGGTGCTCACACTCACACGATGTGGTACCTTGTGACTAAGGTTCACTGACCTGCCACGGCGGCGAACCCGACAAGACGCTTGTATAACTTTCTTTTCTTTTTTTTCCAAAAGTGACAGCACTGGACAAATATTGATTTATTTTCATGGTGGTACATTTTTTAAAAACAAAAAAACAAGGGCACAGCAAAAATTGCCACGGTTAACCCTTTGATTTTAAGGGCATTACGGCAAATTGTAAAGGCACCAAAAGGCAAATTGCCGCGGTCTATTTCAAGCCCTGTGAGTCTATCGCGTTCTCGGCTTTGTTTGTATTTATTTGATCGCTGATCATATTTGAATGGCTCATTCTATCAGCTTATAATATGCTTTTGGCTTATAATATATAGTCATAGATCTAGATCTAGATCTAGATCTATGCTTTCTATCATCCGTTGAGCTGTAAATGGTCATTTTTCAGTAGCATACATTTCGGGTATCTCAGCTGTTTCCCCCCCCCCGCCAAACCCCCATGTTTACAACTGATCGGCCGTGGCGGCGGGGCATTTTTGGCGGGTTACTTCTGGTGAAACGCTGAGCGCTTCTAGGGTTAAGTGTACGGCTAGCCACTTCGTTAATTAATGTTAAAGGACAGGAGCAAAACCCACCCCAGGAAACTGTTGTCTAGTGTCTAGTAGTGCAGTGATGTCTATAGGCCTAGAGGTCTTTGAGTAGCCTATATAGAAGAAGTAACAAAAAACAATCATTGTCAATCAACAGTCATCGACAGTGTGCTGCACAGCAGACAGACAGCAGTCTGTCAATTCGTAATTCGGTCTCGCAGAAAATGGACTAAAACTAAAAGTAAAAACTCCAAAGACTAGATCTAGAATCTATAACTAAATTACCTCATGTTGCACACAGTCAATGCATCTAGGTTTGAGGCAATGCTTGCAAAGATAAAGGCGGCATATTGGGAACTTTTTGCCGCACGAACACAGATACTTCACTAAATTGACATCCATATAAGTCGCCATATTGGATGACACATCCTTCGGGAGAAAAGTAGGAAGGGGCGAAAGGGAGACAAAGTGAGACTTGGTTTCAAAGGGAGACTATTCAGCTAAAACCAACTCTCAATCGGGAAAATCCGATTAGATCTAAAATCATACTAAAATGACAGATTGAGCTCTGGACTCTGGAGGGGGTCACTTCAAAATAAACTCTTGCTCACTTTCATCTTTTTATTGTCCATTAGAACGCTAAAATAAACAAAGCAGATCTTCGTTTGAAATGAAAACTGCCAATTCTTTACCACAAGTAGATTGCATTGAATTTAAAATACGCACTCTGCTATGAAGGAAGATTTAGGCCTAAGTAGATTGGAGAAAGGGGTTCCGTTCAATCTTTTTGGTTCCCATCCCATCCCAGTGAACGTCATTCTTGCATTGGAAACATTCATCATGGCGACCCCCACAACCTTGAATGTTGGTGAGCCCGCTGATGAAAGATCGGTTGATGCAGAAAATGTCCCTGATGCTGCACAAAGTTCCAGTAGTGGTGATCAAGAAAAGATCTACAATGAACCCCCACCTATAACAGACTTCTTTGCATTTTCATCACTCGCTGACGAAGACGAAATTCAGATGCGCCGGTATCCCTACAACAGAAACTACGACGACGATGCCAAAGGAGATTCGGATGGGGACAGTTCCATTGATAATTTCTGGCGAATGTTCCCAGAGTTCCAAATAAGGGCCAGCGATGTGTGCTTTAAGATCACACCAGCAATAGGAGCAGTATGCTATGAATATTTTTCTTTGTCTGTTATGGATCCACAATGGTTTAGCCGGTAAGTCCTGACCTGGTAGACATCTAGAATCTGCACAGCAGGCTTTTAAATTTAAACAATTTGATGTAGATCTAAAGTTTAACTTTTTTCTTGTTACTGTAATTTTCGATGATATTTTGCGACCTCAGTGCTTTCTTGTTGTCTGTCTCTTTGTTGAAATAAACAGATTCGCATAATTTCACGTTTTTGGGCTCAGTTCGCCTCTAATTTCACTGAAATTTATCTTTCATAAACAATGGGGACAGATAATTCTGAATTGGAGAAATTGAGGCAGTTTTGTCTCAGAAAACCTATCGTCTGTATCAATGGAAGTGGCACAAAGTGGTGAAGTTATGGGAATAGCTTCCAATCTATTGACCGGCGTGACGCCGGAGAATAGCCACTTGCTTTAAAAAAAAAATTAATTACAGAAAAACTAGATCTCTAGATCTATAACTATTACACTCAACAAAATGAAGTGGAATGACAAATGGTGGTGGAAATAATGATTATGCTGTAGTGGTGGCGGAAAGATCCTGAGTCATCGGTTTCCGTGTACTTAGACACTGCCATTGGGCCATGAGAGTAGTCTTATATGACTTTTAACACAATTACACAGTCCTATTAGGTAGTTCTAGTTAGTTCTAATTCTTGTTTTATGTAAAATCCCGTGGCGACAATTATTAAATTTAACCTCCTTACTCTCACTTACAATGCGAGTCTGAATTTTTTTAAAGTCCGTAGCCGTAATAGTAATAGATTACACTCATGCTCAGACAGTCTGAATAGATAAAAAATCTAATCGGACTCAAGTCCGAATAGAACTGGCCTAATAAAATTCAGTTAAGAGAGAGAGGTTGCTCCAAAGAAGAAAAACAAATGGGATTTTTGGTTTTTTTCGATTTACCACTTGATCTATATCTAGGTATACCATGTTTGGTTTTTATGCAGACTCCGGCACTCTTCAAAAGAAGTGGTCTCGGCTTAACTCCATAGAAATTGTGTGAGGTGACCTATCAGTACTATCACTGTTTTAACTGTTTACCCGGTCTGTGACAATGGACGTGAGCATGAACTTGCGACAGGAGCGTTGCTCATTCTCCGATAGGTGGTGACCCTTTTGTTTATGTTACCTTTTCTTCCTCGTCTGATATTTTTCGATTTGGTTCACCCTTTTACACTGTCTTCATCTTTTGATACACTCTGTAGAATTTAACACATCACAGCAGTTGCGAGGCTTCATCTCTCTGTGTTCTGTGTTAACAAAAATGTTTCACCACACATTCAGATAAATCCATGCTCTGTTAATGGGGACATCAATGTAGAAAAGTAACCAATGTCCTGAGCCTGCAACCATCCCCAGTTGGAAACTCAGAAGGGAATGATTCTGATTAAAATAAAAACAATAACAACCCCCTTTCCCTAAACACCCCCCCCCCCCCCAAAACAAAAACAAAGAGACTAAAAAAATCCAGCAACAACAACAACAAAAACATTCCAACACCCCCCCCCCCAACCCCCTTTCCAAAAAACGAAACAAACCATTATATTTATTAATTAGCCTAACAGCAGTTCTCATCCTGTAGCGACATCCGGTTATGACCTCAGAAGGGAATAGTTTGTTTACTTCATTTTCATCAGTCCTGCCTAAGACGGCCACTTTTTTCCTTGACAATCGGTGGCTGCCTTACACAAGTGCGACTGCATTTTTATGATAAGTATCTCATCACTCGCGTAAAAACTGATGATGCGAAACTCAAAATCTGACCATATACAGTGGAGTCCACTTATAACGAGTCCAGAAATAATGAAAGGTCTGTTATAAAGACACTATTCTAAAGCCCCGTTTTTTTTCCCTAAATCTTTGTAAATAAAATACTGCTATAGCGCAATCAGACAAATACGTGAGTGGGTTATAGCAGAATAGTGCTGCTGCTGTGCACAGCGCTTAGGCCATTTATACCATACGTAAAACCTCGCCAGTTGAGATACTTGTTGGTGATCTAGCGAAACAAAGAATGGGGGAGCCCACGTGTGCCAACTATGAAGGCTGGAGCGAATGAGTGGGGAGGGTGTTTCATGCGCAGTGCGCGGCAGACAAGCAGTTGTGAAGCAGAACGCATTGCATGATAGGCCAACCTAGTCTAGATTATCTAGGCCTAACATGCCTTTCATTTCTCCAATGGGGGAATAGAGAGGCCATAGTGCTGTTATGGACGGAGCAAATGTATGACGTGCGCAAGCAGACAGAACACACCACAGGGTGTGGTGGGGTGGGGACAACACAACGGACGAGTTAGCCCACAGAACTTTCTTTCTGATCGCCAACGCCGAATTTAAACATTGTTAGCTCTAGAGAAAGAAACCTGATTCGATTTTTGATCAAGTAAGGTCAAGAGGTCATGTTGGGCAAAATCATCATCAGGGGCGATAACAAAAAGAAATACAGTGGAAACCTGATATAACAGGGGTAGTGGGAGTAGAGAAAAAGTCCTGTTATATCCGATCCCTGTTAAATCCGAAATGCAAGGAAAGAGAGCATTTGTGGACAAATCTAGCTGTACTTATTCATGGGTATTTCCCTTGCCACAAGTACCCACGAACAGGGGTTTTGGTACCAACTTTTTCCTTGCGTCCTTAAACCACATCAGAAGAGCTTGGTCCACAGCATCTACATCTGGTAGTCTCATCTTCTTTCGATCCAGAGCAAACTTTTCATTGGAGTGCTGCCACTATCTTCTCTCTATCCTTGATAATGGTGGGAATCGACCCTTGTGGAATGTCGAACTGACAACAAGTCTCTGCCAGTGGAGCTTGCTTTTTGTCAACGGTCTGAATTATTTCATATTTTTTGTCAATTGAAAGGCATTTTCTCTTGTGCTTGACATCGTTGGTGACCATAATGAAAGAAGTAGGCTTAGATCTAATCCGACCGGTCGTCCTCTCTCTTTCTCTCTCTCCCTCTCTCTCTCTCTCTCTCTCTCTCTCTCTCTCTCTCTCTCTCTCTCTCTCACACACACACTTTTTACACATTGTTAACGAGCTTTTGTCCCTACTATAACCTGCTGGGCTCCGATGAGGTCCTGTTATTGCCGAGATAACTTTTTTGTAATAGAGACAAAGAGTAGGAAAAAAAACGGGGATTTTAAACATCCCTGTTATTACCGGATGCCTGTTATTACCGGATGCCTGTTATTACAGGGCCTGTTATATACCGGGTATGGTTTACACTGCAAACAGAACAACGTACTCATAGATTAGGCCTACTTTATTATTAATTTCCTTTGAATATATTACTGGATCCCTTATAACGAGAATCCTGCTATAACGAATATTTCGTACCAGTCCCCTCCCTCTCGTTATAACAGGATTCCACTGTATAAATGCAAAAAATTCTATTCAGGCGTTGCATACTTGCAACTGGGGATAAAAAAGCACTTCAACTACTACTCAACACCCAAGAAAAAGATCTACTGAAACGAAGATCAACTTAAGCGAGTTCAACACAAGTGGAGTCGACTGTATATTTTGGTGGTTTTGTACACAGAAAACACAAACACCTGGAATAACTGATAGTTCGTTTGCTATTTCCCAACTAAACCACCATATATACATTTTCTTTGTATGGGCAACATTTACACTGTTTTCTCAAACATCTGTACCGGGTACAGATATTTGTCAAACGGATTGTCTCGAAAAAACTGATCAAATTTTTCCTCTCAATGTTTTCAAATTCCAAATCGTCGTGCGCGCACGATGGAAAACAACACATCCATTGTCATTGAAAGTGTCAGGCTACCAGATCCTACCAGGCTTGCCACTGCACAACCTGATACTACACAGTGCACTGATGGAATTAAGAAGATACATTGATATCGCACATTACCTTGTGGCGCTGCACTGGGCTGTATTATGTGTGAATAATGTTTGTGTGCATAGTGTGTGTGTGTGTACATGTGTGTGCACGCGCACATGTGTGTGTGTGTGTGTTTGTTCGTTTGGACATGAAAATATGGATCGGGAAATGATTACACAGATTACATTATATTTATAATGCCATTTTGCCCTCGGCTCTGTTGTCCGTCATAAGATGGAGAGATTGGGGGCATGCATGCTATGACCAGTGTTGGTTACATCATCATGATTAGGTTGCTTTCAGTTTGATGTGAAGTGAGGGGAAAAAATTGTTTTGCGTTATAACAACAAGGGTGGACAAGCAGGTCAAATGATATATATATGGAATTTGTCATCTGGGACTGCATGCCCCTACATTGTCAGTTAATCGACACTGAAGCTGAGGCACAGATCATGTGAATAGTTATTTTAATTTGGGAACTATGACTGAGAATCGAAAGATATTAACTTGGCGTGTTAATAAAGCTTTTATTTTAATTTAAAGGCTCAGGACTTGAAGCAATTGTTTCTGAATTTTTTAGCACCATGTCAGTGCAAAATACGGTATTAACTTCAATTATGGCAAACTCAAACCAAATGACACCATCCCAACAAGTGCTAATCTATTTTCAGCTACGTTCGTTATCTAATTAAGGATGAACGGTTTGTTGCTATGGCAGGTTGTGGATTGGCAGTGTGTAGTTTGTAAATTAGAGAATTATATGTTATGAGGTAGCTATGATGTTATGTCAGAAGTTTTGAAAATACGTGTCATTAATTTTTCGTAATGTTTTTTATCCCTAGAGCATTTGGAAACTCTGAGAGTATGGTCAAGAACATAGTGTGGTTCCATGCACACATGGGGGCTGGCCTGTACCTCTATTCAAGACGACACATCAGAAAGGTCCACCCTGTGTCCAGAGGCATTTTTTACAGCATGTTCGGATCCATTCTCTTTAACTTTGGCTCCCTGCTGCTGTGGGGTTGGGGGCGTTCTATCCTGCCGCAGTCCCCAGCCCTCCGCTCCGTTTGTGGCCTCCTGTCGGGGGGCGCTCTCCTCTATGCAGCACAGGACTACCTACAGCATGTGGACAGTTCCTGCTCAGAACTGGACTGAGTGAGCAAGGGGAGCGAGTTATTTGTCAAAAGAAAGCGTTCTGTGTGAGGTGCAGTTTAATGCTGTATAAAGTGAAATGATAGGGTCTTATGAGTGACTTTTGTAATAGAAGTAATATTATTTATTATGGCCTCAGCATGATCAAACCGTAGGTTGTACTTAATTAATAGTCAGGTAGGTATTTTTTCACCTGGTGAAGTATCAGAATAATTTACAAATCTGTTCTTGTTTTTTTCATAAAGTAGCTCATAAATTGTGTAACAAATTGTGTAGTTCATGGTTTACTTGTGTACAATGTGATCATCACATCCAATAAATTTTTCAGTTTCAGAATTGTCTTTCTCTCAATCTTGATAGAGAAATATTTTTCACAACAGACCTGGGTGCAATACAGTGTCTCAATTACGATTCAGTGCCTGGGGTTTTTACTTATTGTCATGGTGTAGCCAATATGGCCTAACTCATTTTTTTGCTCTTGTTTGAGATTGAGAAAAAACCAATTTGTTATTTTATAATATATGCAGTGGAGTCAGGTTAACCTGAACATGATTACTCTGAAAACGTCGGTAAACCACAAGAAAATTAAATCCCTGATTTTTTTTTTCTATTTGAGCAACCCCTCTAAAGCGAAAACCCAGCCAAACTGAAGAAATCAAGCCCTCTGACAGATTTTTTTTCAATTGGACTCAACTGTACTTTTTACTTTTGAAATTGATATGTCTAAATATAGGATAACGAACCACCTTTTTGAAAAATTTTAATACTAAATGATGCACCGTGACTAGGGGAGTAACAAAATGGTTTCATTCCTTTATGACCCAATCTGACTTAAGCCGTGGTGGCAGCACCATAACATTATGTTGACGACGATGTTTTTGTACCTCTGCCAACTGTCCTTGCCTATTTAAATAAGCTGTAGGAAATGAAAATAACCTGCGTTTTCCTCAGTCCTGTCCCCATCGTTTTATGCAAAAAAAATTCTGAAATTATGCAAGCTGAGCCCAAAAATGTGTAATAATGCGGTTCTGTTAATTTTAATAAAGAATGATAAAGGAAAATAATCAGAAATTGTGCAAAAAATAATCAAATTTTTCTAAATTATGCGGGGACAGTCAGTCAGTGGTTCATTGTTTCAGGACATTTCAAATTTAGCTGTGTTGTTGAAAAGGAAGGGGTTCTTAAATTTTTCCCTTTGTTGAATCTAAGATGTCATTGATTCTTACGTAATTCAATACAAGGTTCCCTGTACTATGTCTTATATTTAGGAACTGCCATGTCCATCCATTTAAGGCACTATGGAATGCCATTCTGATTTTTCTCTGTGTCTCTTTCTTCTCTGGTCAGCACCTGTCAGGATTCCTTAATTCACTGTGTGCAAGACTTGTCAGCATTGAAACCTAAACTTGTCCTCATGCTGTGATTTCAGCTAAACTGACACAGATTACTATCTATTACTATAGGCTATTCAAAATGAACCGTGTTATAGTGTATTTTTAAATTAAGATGTATATATACTATACATGTACCTTCTTTTCCTTTTTTTTTTTTTTTGCAGTTACTTATTGTTAATGGTTTTTAAAGGATCCGCTTCCTAATTGTGGAATTTATGCATCTTATTTGCATAACAATGAAAATCTGAGAAATAGTTATAAAGTGAAAATTTTTAACAATTGAAAGAAAAACCCGCTCTCCATTGGCCAAAATGGAAAAGGAGCTGTTTTGTACATAAGATGGAAGGTCACTTCTTTGAGTGGCAAAGTCATTCTGTTACTCTTGTGAGTACTATCTGAGGATTCATTTGTTTAAACTTGTCTTGTACTGTTGCCTATTTTTACATCCGATGGTTAAAAAGTAAGTGAGAAGTGGGATCAGTATAGTTTGAGGACATTGAAATACAGAGAAAAGTTGTCATTCAAAAAGCAAGTTTGATATTATAAATTCCAGCCTTTTACCCCTTGGATTCATTATTCTCATGCTTTAAAAGTTTTTAATTTTTGCATGTCTGTTACTGCTCATCATGTGTGTATATGTATGAATATTGTTTTATTTCTACACATTGAGATTATTCACAATATTTTGTCTATCTTATTGATCTGCTGAAAGCTGCTTTTTATCAAGCTTTTCCCCAGAAATAAGTTCTCTAGTTTTTCTAGTGAAAGTTATAAGTAGGTACCCAGCCTTTTCCTCCAGACAATGCCCCCACTTTGTTCAGGATTCTTGCCTCTACCTTTGGGCTTGAACAGTGCTGACATACAACCAAGTAATACATCCAATATAATTTTATCTTACGACATAGTTGTTATGAGGTGGAATCTCTTTTTATAAATGTCCAGTTTTGTAATCAAAGCCATTAAGTGTTCTGCAGTTTTCCATATTTTTATCATATCTTTTAGGTGTATCAAAAACTATGTGTATTTTTGTGCTAGTCAGTGTTCTATTTTCTTTCTTCTTTGTACTTTAAGCTCTTGGAAACTGTCAGCACTTTTAACTGTCTCAGTGCACTGTCAGATTTTTTATTTCCCTGATCAACCTTCTTAGAAACTTTTTGGGGCATTTTCTAGTATTACTTTATTACCTTGAACTTACATGGGCCTACTGTAGCACAGTTGCCTATTTGTTGTTGTTGTTACATTTATTTACAATTGCAATACAGTCGAAAGAATGTATGGTCTGTAGTCAAATCACATGGTAAGGTCTCTCCCAATTAAGCATCTTTTTTTCTTGTCATGTAGCAAAAGAAAAGCTTTAAGATATAATCAGAATCAACACGGAGTGATTTAATAGGCCAGGACACATTGCTCTCTCAGTTCAGTGCACAGTCACAGGAGTGAAGTTCTGTTTCAGACATGTACTGTATATTTGGTTGCATGTATCATATTAGAAGGGAGATGCAGACGACACAAAATCTGGACTCATCCTCTGAAAGCTGTTAGTGTTAGTATTAGTGGCTCCTTTTACTACACCGATTAAGAATTCTGTTCTGATAGGTCATTTGATGATATTACATGGAATCCAGGTCTTTAATAATCACCCACTGAAGCTTTATTGGCTATTGATTTTAAAGAGGCCTTAGCCTTTAGTTATGATCTTTATTATAATAGCCATCCACTGTTATATATATATGCGTATTTTCGTCATCATGTTTTTACTTTTCAGTTTGCAAAACTCTGTGTGTTCATTTCTTTGTGCAGGTCAAATGATTTACGCGTTGACTTGAACAGTGTTTTTATTAAACTACTTATGATTATTTCTTTAGCTGTCTTGTTGTGTCTGTTAGTATTTTCTCTATGCTGGGTAGACAGCTGTTTGTTTCTTTGTAGTGAACAATCAGTAAGCTGTGTTGATGATCTAAGAGTACATTGCTGCCAACCAGTACATAAAAAACGTACGTTTTTGCTGCGGAAAATACGCATTGTCTTTTTTGTAGTATTGCTCCACAAGGAGATACTGATACAGATGCTGACGAAAAATGATGAACTTTCAAGACTGGATTTGCAAATGTTAATGAGAACGAAGCCCATAAGTCTTTTGGAGATATTCTTACTGAACATTTCGGACTTTATCGTTGCAGTTCAACATTGAATAGCTTGACTTTATTGAATGCAGAAAAGTGTGTGTGGTGTGAAAAGTTTGGAAAGTGGCAGCACTTGTCCAGTGCCCACCATCTTAACCTGCTGCGTGGGTAGAGTCTGTAATTTGGTTTTGAAAAGTTACCAGATTTGTCAATATAATATAATACAGTAGAACATGGTTATAGTTATAGCGGGACTTTTAGTTCCAGAAAAACCATCCCACTGTAGGCAAGTTCCCGCTAAGGAATGCAAAGGGGAATTACCGAAAATTCACTTGCTACATGGTTTCCTCTTCTTTTACTGTCTTTTTGGCCCTGCGTAAACCAGACTTAAGGCTATGGCACATCACTTTTGGAGTGGCTCATGTAAAGCATTTCTCCGCACCATCTCTCTCTGCCACCTGCCCCATCTCACTCATCACTGAACTGACCAATTACAACTCCGACCCTCTGACTGCCTGTTTCGACCCCGCCTACAGCCCCACCCCACCCCCCTTCCCCCCAGCTAGTTGAGCTAGAGCTCGCTCGATCTCTCCCGCTGTACCCAAGTTCAGGCCTTTCCTTGCCCCGTTAAACCTGAGCACAGGTAGATGTAAATTGGGTTGACATAGACAAAAAAAAGGAGATTCCGGTTGTAGCGGGTGCCGCTATAGTCATGTTCTTCTGTATACTGTATAGGTAATATTTTAAGTAATATAAGTTGTTGGACAGAGCCTTTCATAGAGTCTCTTTAAAAAAACTTGCCATCTGCCTAAGGCCCCCTGCGCACTCCCAGATAAATTCCACTCCTCACTCGGCTGCGACTTGTGAGTATCAAACAAGGCAATTTTTGCCCGTTTTTCTCTCTTCACCATCAAGTGAGATTTTGCAGCGGTGCAACAAGTGTAGATTTTACTAGTGCTATTGTGCATGAGGCCTTTGGGCTCAACTCGTTGTGGTTGATTCTCATAAATCATAATCTTGAAATCAAGGCAGGGTTTTTTTATAATATGGAAATTTTCAAAACCTAATGGTATTTGTTCAGTCTTCTTGCAAGTTACGGCAGACACTTGTTTTAATCAAAAGATCTTCACAAATGAAGTCTATCTTGAAAGGGATGCTAGACATAACCACCCAAAATTCTCCCCAAAAGTACCTGGGGAAACACCCCCCCCCCCCCCTCCAAGACTTTTTAAAATCAGAAATAATGGAGGTTACTACCGGGTTAGGAATTTATTCCAGTTCAAGTGAAATACTGCATATGTGTGCCTCTGCTCTCCCAATTTAGAGAGTTGATAGAGGCCACTCTCATGAATAATTTAAATTAAAGGCCTATCTTTTTAAAAATGAAATGCAAGTGTTTAACTTATCGATTGAAAAGACACAGTACAAAAGGCAGTCAGGCTTAACTTAATGATAAAATTAAATGGAAATATTAATTAAATATCAAAAAGACTTGTGCAATTAGATGTGGTAGTGAATTCAGTTTTCATTTTTTCAAAGTAAACAAAACTTTTACTGACTACTGTTGAGAACAGCAATTATTTTAAACAAAAGAGTCAGGGGAATAAGTGCAGCTCTTAGCCGTCTTTTGGTACAAAATCTAAAAGAGACATACGTCACTCAATATAAAATTGGTAATTAAATCAAAACAAATTTATCTTTTTTCATAGTTCTTCATATAATGAATGAACTCCCAAGTAAAAGAGATCTGTAATGTGATGTCGAAGTCGTCACAAAGGAATGTGCCCAATCCTCTGCCAGCAGCTCACCAGCACAGTCGTTCCGACCACGAGTCCCTTGCCGGAGATAAGGAGTGAAATGACTTACAGTCCTAGTGTCTCGTAATGCATAAAACTTAAACAACAGCAATAAAACAGCAGAGTAATCTAATACAGTGGAACTCGGATTCAACGAGCTCGGATTCAACGAGAACTTGGATTCAACGAAATGAGATAGATTCCCCGTTTTTTTTCTTCTTTAAAATCAATAAAAATAGCCCGGATTCAACGAGCACTTAAATTAGCGAGCTCGGATTCAACGAGGTCGCTTCCAGGGTGAACAGCCCCTGCAGACGTGGCTTCGCTAATTTTTCTCCCAGAATGAACTTTATCTATTCCCAGATTCCCGGAAACCATCCCACCTGCATCGTGAACCATTATTCACTTAGCCGATTGCAAACGACCAATCAGCGGCCTTTTTTCATACCAACACATGCGTTGTTGGCACGTGCACGTGTCTACTCTGGCGTGTGTCGGGGTTGGATGGGCGGCCTGCATGCGTGGCGGGGAAGGGGGGGGGGGGCAATAGCGGTCCCGGCGTTGAACGTTGCAGATACAAACGCGTCAGTCTTTTTTCCCCCTCGGCAACTGATCATTATTACATTGATAAGCTAGTCTTGACGTAGATCTACGTAATGAATTGTGCGCTGGTCTATGGAATAAAAAGTTGTCGTATGCTAGGCTCTACACAGCAACACAACTTTATGGTAAACAATCAAGATGACACAGGCAGAGGGCGAAGCGTCTATATAATCAAATAATCACTGCTTCCCTTCCTAATTTTGAAACCTTGTCGCAGTCAAATTCACCCATAAAACGAAAACTTCATAAATTAAATGTAAAAAGACGTTCATAATCAATAATGAACAGTATGCCTAACATTTTAAACGGTTTCATTGCCACAGAAATAGCCTGTTCACCCCTCTTGGGCCACTCCATAAGCAGTCACAAGCTTTGATTAAGTAAGCTTAAAGTGAGACTGGAAGAGTCTACCAACAGAGTTGAAGGGAACATGTGCATAGCAGTCGAAACTGTTTCATTGCCACATATACCCTGTTCACCCCTTTCGGGCCACAGTTATAATCAGTCTCAAAGAACTGATTAGGTAAGCTAACTATTACACTGGTCGAGTCTACCACACAGATGTGAGGGGAAGTAACTCCTAGTAATCTCTCGACTGCTTCGAGTGCTTGTTTTTTTTTCCTCTACTTTTTACTGCCCTATAATCAGATCGTGACCTCGATTATCTGTCCCCGTAGGATTATGCGATTGTGCGGCCGGTTTTTTTCCGCGTAATTCTGCACATTTGCATAATTTTGGATTCCCCACGTTTTTTTTTTCCTTTTTTTTAAAAACACAATTAATTTTATTAATTAACGCCTCGTCATGTGACTAAAGGGAAATAATCACCGTAATAAGTCTTATTTAAGTGAAAAGTTGGTTATTTCCCTTGGTAGAAGATCTTGGTTATGGTTTGGGATTTTGTTCCTTGAGCATGTTCAATGTTTCAATCCATCAAAAGTTGTTCTCATGTCTGCTGATGCTTCATGTTTGACAGGTGTTCCTGGTTTTAGTAATGTGCCAGCATCAGAGGTCCAGATGTCCTTCTTTTCTTTTTTTTTTTACATTTTTCTTTTCCAGATCTAGATCTAGAGATATATTAGATCTAGATCTACAGCTGAAAGTTACAGAGATTATATTTTTTAGGTTTTTTGTTTTTTTTACAGATGTGTATTGTTTTCTTTCCAAATACACTACAAATTACTGATACTGATATGTTCTGTTTAAAAAATTTTCTGTACTTAAAACATAAAAGTCATGAAAATTTGTAAGTGCAAAACATGTCACGAAAGGTGTTACGGTAACTTGCATAATTTTTGCATAATTTGGCTTTTTTTGGGCATAATTTGGCCATCTAAATTCGCATAATTCTACGGGGACAGGATTATGACACAGGCTCGTGGCCGCGAAAGGCTAGACAAAAAAACAGCCAAATGTGAAATTTAAAAAATTATAATTGTCATGTTCTACCAAGGAGTTAGACTCCCTGGTAGATCTATAACATATAGATCTAGTACTGACATCTCTGCTTCTTTGCTTTGTGTTTGTGTATTCACATCTAAAGTTAAATTTAAATTTAGTTGGAATTGATATTTAATGAGATACTTTCCCGATTATTTTGGCGGTTGAACATACAATAATGAATTCCGGATTTAATTTCATTCACAACTCTGAGTTGCCGCCTCGAGCAAGGTTCTTGTGTGATATCCCCAGGCCATATCTAGTCCCGTTTCACTTTGATTACCCTGTCAAACAAGTCAGCCTTCGCCCCTGGACACAGGCGTGCATTTGAACGAATCTGTCGTTTTTTTTACACAGCTCATAATATGCGTGAACAGCCCCTGCAGACGTGGCTTCGCTAATTTTTCTCCCAGAACGAACTTTATCTATTCCCGGATTCCCGGAAACCATCCCACCTGCATCGTGAACCATTATTCACTTAGCCGATTGCAAACGACCAATCAGCGGCCTTTTTTCATACTAACACATGCGTTGTTGACACGTGCACGTGTCTACTCTGGCGTGTGTCGGGGTCGGATGGGCGGCCTGCATGCGTGGCGGGGAGGGGGGAGGGGGGCAATAGCGGTCCCGGCGTTGAATGTTGCAGATACAAACGCGTCAGTCTTTTTCCCCCCTCTGCAACTGATCATTATTACAATGATAAGCTAGTCTTGACGTAGATCTACGTAATGAATTGTGCGCTGGTCTATGGAATTTAAAGTTGTCGAATGCTAGGCTCTACACAGCAACACAGCTTTTTGGTAAACAATCAAGATGACACAGGCGTGCATTTGAACGAATCTGTCGTTTTTTTACACAGCTCATAATATGCAGGCATTTCAGGCACTACTTGTGACTTCTCTTTGCACATTACTTGCTCAAAGCCTGTAATTATCTACACAAAACGTCATGTTTGCTATAACGAACACTCGGATTCAACGAGATTTTAGGTCTAGCCCTGCGACCTCATTGAATCTGAGTACAGTGACTCCTTCCCTCTGAGCCCTCATCCAGGCCCAAAAGTTAACAAATCATACTTATCCCTTTTGTATTAGTCCCCCCCCCCCCCATCTCCTTCTCTCTCCCCCCCCCCCTCATCCTGCAGATTTTTCACCACTAGAAGGGGGCTAAAGCAACACATGGTGGTGAACCTCTCTTTGAATTTACTTAGTAAGATGAAAATGAAAACATTGATTCCTTCTGGTGTCTAAACTTTATTATTCCATGACATTCCAAAATCATAGGAAAACAACTGGAAAACACTGCAATATGGCCACTGATTTTTAACACAATAATGTGACAATAGTTTTGCTAGAGACAACAAAATATTTTTAATAAGTACTTCGTGCAAACTTTTGCCAAGACTTACTTTAATGGATGCCATAAACAAAACAAAACCCCAACAAATCTTTTTTACATTAGTCATTAGCAGAGATTTGAAAAAGTTGTCTTTCCTTTGTTCTGGAGTATTCTTCTAGGAGAGAAAACTGAGCCAAATTCCTTTAGTGCTGAAAAACTTTGTAAATGTACTAAATCTGTATCAACCACATATGGCCAGCAGATTCCACAAGGATGGGCATCGAGTCATTGAGCCAGCTGTAACTAACATGTAGTTATCTCTTTAATTATTTGTCAAGATGGCCATGAGGCAGCAAGTTCGCATGAACATGAACAAAAACCGAAACCATTTCTGCATCAACAACACTCGAGCACGAAAAAATCGAACATGTTGGGATTGACTAATGTAGTATTCCACACATCCTTATTTCCTGCAAACGATGAAATACAAAATTCGAGAGTAGTTGAAGGAAATCTACCATTTGTTACATGTGAAATTAAGGCTAAGTTCCTTTGTGATTTCTTCTGCCTTTAACTAACACCAGGAAGGGACAAACGAAAGGAAGAGACATGACACATGCCTGCACTTGCAGGAACAATGCCTGCTCGATTGTTCTCATATTTTGCAAAGCACACTTGCTTTCCATCATGTTGACATCCAATACTGGCTTTTCAAAAGGTTATCTCCACGATGAAGTAACCTGTCACCTGATACCCTTTAAGAAGATGGGTGTGTTGCTTTCCATGGTGTGCACAGGGTGATTTGAAATTGAGACAATCAAGAGGAAAGACTTTAATCAGGTTTTTCCAGACAAGATGTTCAACAAATCCATACAGGTTTTTAAAAAAAACAATAATGTTGCCAATACAAAGAAAAAATACCAGTTCAGTCAGGGAATGGCAATATACAAATATACATTGAACAATCAGTTCATAACTTAAAGTTCCAAGTTCACTGTGCCCCACTGTAGCTGTTTCATTTTTAAATCACGGAGAGACAGAAACAAACATTTCATTTTTATTTCTCTTAGCCCATACACAGACGTAATTCCAGTTTGACTGTACTGGTAGATTTTAAAAAAATAATTCAACTTTAATTTTAGATAAATATCTATCTCATCATCATATGAAATATAGCGCTCAATAAAAGAGTGGGTTTTTGTGGTGCATATATTAGGATACATTTTTAAAATCACTCTTGCTTGCTTGCATCTTCACTTCCGGCATCAACACATTTTTTGGTCTTATTTATTAATATTATATTGATAATTTTAGACGTTCCTTCTTGGAGTGCAAACTGGGAATTTGAGAATGCCATCCATCAGGAACTCACATTACTCACAATGGTTAGCAGTTTTTGGGGCTAAAAAACAACAACAAATAAATGAAGCTAGCAGCTACCAGTTGACTTTACATTCAGTTCACACCTCACACTTGTCTGAGATACCCTCACTGTGAAAAGGATTATTAAGTCAGATATATACCAAGTCATCAGCAAATATCGCAAGCAAACCTACGGCAAAATTGTATCAGTAGTATTTCAGGGTAGCATTTTCAGTCATAAACAACGCACACTTGTTCAAATATCATGAAGACCATTAATAATAATATCATTGACGATCTCACTTCCTAGCCTGTAGGGAAAAACTGACAAACATATGAGAAAAAGAAATGCCAAGAGGTAAATATGGTAAGAGCACCATGCAATAACTACCGATACCCGTATCACAATTCACAACACTATCACTCGGTAATTTTATCATTAGAGCTCTTTATGTACACGACGTAGGGGGCGTTCATCTTCCTTCCATTTCACTGAACATCATGTCAAGTTCACATTTTTAAATTTAAATCCTATAAAAAGTGTAGGCAAACTTTGATTTCCCTTCTGTTCTGTTATTCAATTTGAATCTGTTTTCTTGTAATATTGTATATATACAGTGTTTCCATTCTGAGAGGATATTTACAGTATCCCCCTTACAAAGAAAAATAAAAACATGCCTGGGCCAAAAATAAAAGCCTATCAGGTGTATGTGAAAAGAGACATTGAGAAGGAATCTATCTGGTATTGGAACATACACTTGATTGATCATCAATGTAAATAGTCAGTTAGAAAAAACACTTCTTTGCAATTGAGCACTTCCTCTAAAAAGCACACGGAAAACAAACAAAAATTCAGCAGTCAAAGACTACCTGTCTTCACATCAAACAACCATAAGAAAAGTCACCTACAACAGCTCATAAAACATGATCTTTATAAAAATCCGTACTCATTTATTCTAAGGACTTGGGGGGAAAATAAACAGTTCACTGCTGATGTGGAGCATTAAAAATTTACATTTATCACCAAGAAACTAATGGTTTCCAAATTAAAGGACCAAAGAAGGTTTTTTCGACAAAGTGAATTAATTCTGATACAATGAAAATATACTGTACAAAGATACTATACAATCATCATCAATGCCTATACAATCATTATGAATAAAAGCTTTATGCATCCCTCGAAACCGAAACACTCAGAATATAGTAAAACACACACTCTGGGTCTCTCCTCCACCCCAAAAGCATACACATTAAAGTTACCTGTCATAATCATCCAGTATATGCAAACCTGTATTTTCAAAGCTAAATGACAGTGTGTAATCTCATGGAGTGACCACAAAGAAGTACTCTGAAACACATTTGTTCCTGTCCTTCTTTAAAACAATAAAAATCACCCTACGACGGATGCAGCCATCCAAATTTTATCGATAGTGAGCGTTGATTGCCCTGGCAATGATAAGACGACGGACCTCACTGGTTCCAGCCCCAATCTCATACAGTTTCGCATCTCTCAGAAGACGCCCAGTTGGATAGTCGTTGATATAACCATTACCTCCTGTGTGTGAAAAGAGAAGTAATTGAAAAACAATGCAAAAAAAGCTTCAATTTATTCCACAACACTATTCAAACTGGGAGAGAATTAAAATTTTCTTGACGCCCTGTTTCAAAGCACGAAAAACCTGTAATGTTGTAATGTCCAAGAAAGTACCTAGTGAGGAAAGATGAGAAGAAGAGGGGTGGTTGGCATGGCAATGTGGGAATGCAACACTATCACCCTCCCTCCATATCTGCTGATTTCCAACATTTCTGCAGACTTACGAGCATAAAACAGTGCCAGGGATGCCACAATCTAATAAATAAATAAATGTGGCTAGTGATTTTTGCAGACAAAGCAGAAAGAATGGGTGGAAGGGGGGGGGGGATATACAGCAAAGTCTGTGTAAACTGAAATTTGTCAAGTTTTCAGTGTAGAGAGGTTACTGAAATAGAGGGGAAATAATATCAGGACTTTATTTTCTTTTGGTTTAGCGTCGTTCGTGATTTATGCGAGTTTGATTTTAGAGGACTCCACTTTAAATGCTCCTACAGTGACCAGGCTGGTTTCATAAAAGGAGCAATAGGAGACTACATTAGTATAATTCCTTGATCACTAGCATGACTGCTTTTAAGCGAGAGGAGCTCGGGCCAGCAGTGGCAAAAGCCCATGGTCTCAAGTGTAGTTGGGGACATGTGGATTTTTGCCAGCAGAAGGACATCATATCACAATGCTAAAGGGGAGAGAAATTAAATCTTTAAAAAAATGTACAGTGTATTTATGCCCCCATTGACACTATCTCAAGTATTTAGGACACAGGCTTTGACCTGGCCTGTAAGGACCAACCCAGGCAGAGAGGGATACAACATTACAGCAGAAAGACCGAGATACTCAATATAAATTATTCGCTATTGGGAATCAAACTCAGATCTCCTGTGTGTGATAGTGATAGCAAAGCACTTAGCCACTACACCAAAGATGCAGGTAACAGAGCGAGACAACACTTGAAGTAGAGGTACCAACCCCAGAAACAGCAATTTCCTTACCTAAAATTTGAATTGAATCCAAAGCCATTTTTGTAGCAGCTTCTGCAGCATACAGAATCACTCCCGCACAGTCCTGCAATAAAGAAAAACATTTGAAATTGAGCACACTTCGTAGAATCCACAAAAAAGCAAAGTAAACATCTTTATTACTGACTTATCTTCAATTCCAATTCAGTTTCTTGTGCCATATCAACAGCAAAAAATAAATTTCCCATACATTAGAGTACAAACAAAATATCTCTTCAGTAAAAATGGTCCAGCCCTTTTTAAGCAAAAACGTTAAGTTTTAGGGTAATTACAAAAAAATATTTATTTTCCCTCTCGCATTTTTTGGTCTAGATCTCCAGCAAAACTTAATCCCTCATGAGTCATTCTAATCATCCCTTGAGCTTACTCTGCCATTGCTGTACAAAAATTCGTGACCACTGTCAGAATACCATAAAGCCTTCTCCAGGTCTTCCCCAGACTCTCCTCCTTTGAAAAGTTGTAAAGTAAAATGCTTGTTTTTAACTTCTTTTCTGAGCACATCAGAAAAACATTTTTGAGGGCCAAGTATTTCCAGACTCTTTTCCCCTGGAGTAAAGAAAGTTTTATAAATGACAAACAACTATAAAATCAAAGCTTGTAATAAATATCTCACAAGAAGCATGTTTACTTCTTGAACCGAACGCAACACACATGGAGATAAAATTGGAGTGAGTTATTATCAAGTAAAGAGTAGATTTGTGCTGCACATAAGCAGCATTCAGCCTGAAGGTAACCAGAAATTTCACAGACAAGAATGTCAATCCAGGCAAGAGCGTTAAAACAAACTCATTATTATAACCGGGTTCCCCTGAACTTACATTCGGATGCCTCTCTCCCCTGTCCAAAGCTCTGGCCACATTGTACACATAGGATCTTGTGGCGTTCAGTGCTACATACATGTCAGCCATCTTACTCTGGATCATCTGGAGAGCAGAGAAACAAAAGATATTTTACTAACTTCTGTGCCCCTTTCATCGTATAAACATATCAGACATATTTAAATCCCTTTGCAGATAATAAAGCATCAATTTCAAACCCTAGATAAAAAGAAGGTAATTCATTTCAGTGCTTTTTTTCACAATGTAAACAATATATCGTGAACATCACAAAACTTTCACATTATGACCCCAAAAAAAGACAAGGAAGAAGGGGGGGGGGGGGGGGTGTTGGAGAGGGAACCAATTGCACACAAACCAAAAGAGACCACCATATTCTACTTATTGCTCAAATACAAACCTGAAAATGTCCAATCTTCTCTCCAAAGCACTCTCTCAAGTGTGCATACTCGTACGTAACATCACAGCAAGCTTGCATAATTCTGTCGATTGCAAGGGTAAATACTAATTAAGTTTACAAAATTTGTTACAAGTGCCAGAGCATAGTACATACATATCTATGTCAAAATAAGTCAGGCACTTCTGAAAGCAGAGATTTCATACTAAGCTGAACAAAGGAGCCTACTTGCATGAAAATCATCTAAAAAATTATAAAGAGTAAAACCTCCCTTCTACTACATAGTCCACTCATGATTTTTAATTTAGTGAAATTTCCTTAGAAATAGATGCTTACTTCAGTTTTCAGGTCTAACAATTAAACTCTTTCAATATACCCTCACTATATACACTAAAAAGTATGTCTACCGCCTACTTCTCAAAAGGGCTCTCTAGTATAAATTTGAAAAGAAAATTATAGGACTGAATTTTTTTTAATTGTGACAAAACAACAGACACAACATTATGCTTATGGTTGACAAAATCTGGAACCTTCAAATCTTTAAAACAATGGGATGCAAAAATGAACTCATAGTTTAGAGGATAGCATAGTCTTATAGATATAATGTGTGTTAACATTAAAATCACTTGTGCACAAACATTTTTATAATAAGTACCACGTCTTTCAAAAATAGGTACTCTTAAAAAATCTTGTGACTCTCATTTTTATGATTATCATCAGTCAAAGGGCAGGAAAATTTTCATTTCCATGTTTTGAATACAACAAAAAGTAGAGTACAAGTGTGACAGGGTTATATTCACATGTGTCAACTAGAAACAAAGGAGTAGTCCAAAAACAAGTACAGATGCTACAGTAATATGTGTCACAACACAGAGGAATCAGGCACCCGTCAAGTATTGCGCATTTGGCGTTATTGATATAATCTTAAAAGCCTCTTTATTTGCCCGTCTTTTGATGACCCCCCCCATCTCCAAATACTCCATAAGAAGTTGAGATATTTGCGATTGAAGGAGATGGGGTTCGCCAGGTGTCTGAAGTAACATTAGTAAACAAATGGCCACCAAAGTCTGGTCACTTCAAAAGCTAGTGTCCTTGAAAAGTGTAAATGTATATTTTAGTGCATTTGATCTACATTTTTCAGTAAAACCCACAAAGAATTATGGTGTTAAGTAGACATAAAAGATGTTGAGCCAAAAAATAAATAAATAAATAAAAAACTGCCCATAAGGCGAAAGAATGTAGTGCCCAATTTCACAATGATGACACACATAGGTCTATGCCAGCAAGGGCTTGAAGTGGTGAAAGAAAGGACCATTGCATATATACAAGCGTGCACTTTAAAAGCAAAGATGGCAACACATAAAAAGAAATGGAGAGCAAAAAGCTGACAAAATCTGTGTCGTATAAAACCTAAGAGCAAAAAAAATTTTTTTTTAATCCATCTTTCTTCATTCTCATTTTTCCCAAGGCAGGAAAAATTACAATCAGTTCTTGACTCTCAAAAATATTTTAAACATCAGCAAGAAGACCATTAGTCATTTTTTAGAAATAAAGAACTTCAAGCATATATGGAAAAATAATACAAGTAAAATACTGATTCAAAAATTAGCGCAACCATCCATACACACATGACATATACTATATAGCAAAAGGGACACCAGTTGTTAGCATCTGAAACAGGTATCATCAGTCCTGGGTATTGTTAAGACCTTAAACTTTAGCCATATAAAAAAAAGTTTGTAAGATACACTGCTTGCTGAAATGTAAGAAGTGACATCTACAAGGTTCTAGATACAGAGTAACATTCTAGAGAAGATGGTTCACCCTGTGCTGCTGTCATTTTTTAAATATCCAATATATGCAATTTCTACAATTTTACGGGACAGCCAAAAAACTGAATATTGTTGCCAAGAAAACAAACTCTTCGCAAACATCTGAAGTCAATATATCAGAGAATACAATTTTGATAATAACTTCCTTACTATCTTTAAAGCAAATGTTTTGTTGGTAACAACATTCAATTTTTCGGCTCTTCTGTAAAATTGTAAAAACTGTATAAACTGTATTTTTTTTCAAAATGACGGCAGTGAGAGATGAATGTGCAATTCAAATAATGTTGCACTTGTGTGTGTGAAACCGTGAGCACTTGTGTGTGTGCGTGTGCGTGTGGAGAAGGAGGGGTGGGGGAGTATTTGTGAGTATGTGTGTGCGAGTGAGTGTATGTGTGTGTGTGTGTGTGTGTGTGTGTGTGCGTGTGTGTGTGTGTGTGTCTGTGCCTCACGTCCTTACTTTTCTACACATATATTTGCTATGATACCATATCCTTTCAACGTCTTATTTCATTTAGATAAAAAGTAGAAATAAAAATGAAACTTTGCCAGCAGTGAATATAAAAAATTCAAATAGCAGTGTAAATAGAGGATGAAACTGATCAGGTGTCTCTCATCAGTGGAAGATATATGTGAGGCAGCATGGTGAAATCAGGCGCTCGTCAAAAAGACGAAAATGGAGAAACGGGCATTTTTCTACCAGTTTGTAAATTTTTTCTGAGTTTTTGTTTTTTGTCTCAACACCTTGTATGTCCATTCAATAACACTTTTGAGTGTGGATTTTATGGAAAAACGTTGCTTTAAGGCACAAGAAAAGTACATTTGCCGTTTCCAAGGACTCACAAGCCATGGAAGTCACCAAACTTTGGCGGCCATTTTCTTGCAAATTTTATTTTTGAAACCAGGCGACCCCAACCTTCTTCATCCGCAAATGTTCCGACTTCTTTTCAAGATAGAAGAGTATTTTTTTCATCAAAGCAAGGCAAATGAACAGGCTCTAAGATGATACCAAAAACTCCATATGCCTAAAAATTGACGAGCGCCTGATTCCCCCGCGCCGTGACACATATGATGAGGACATTATAAACTCTCAAGTTAAAATAGAAGATAATTTTTTAAGGAAATGAATTAAAGATCAATGTTATGGCACCACTGAAGCATGTAGAGTAGAAGAGAACTGAATACCATAAGAGAGCTCAAAAACAAATTATGTGCACCAAAGAAAAATAGAAGAATTAAGGCTTTGTCAATCCACACCATGCAGTTTGAAGTACGTATGTAAACACAGTTAGCGCTACAACATGCATTAACTTATGAAACTCTAAAGATTCTATAATCTAGAGATGCCCTCTTCGACATAGTTTGTTTTTTTAAAGCAAAAAACAAACTTTGGAACCTCCAATTGATCCTAACAGAGGAAAATTTGTTCAAAATCGTGTGCGAAGGAAAGAGAAGGTTCAAATCAACTAATTTTGCAGTATAGGTAAAAACAAAGTGAATGATAAATACAAAGCATGCATAATGGCTGCTTATCAGTATCAAACTGCTTGGTAACGATAATTTGGATATACTTATTTCCATGCTGTAGTTAAACGAAACAATTTTTAATCAAACCACACCAAAATGTTCAGTTAGACAGTCTAAGATCATAGAATCTTTCAGCACACATCACTACCCATAGCCTGCAGAAGCTACAAAACTAAAAAAAAAGAAAAAATACAAAGAAGGCCACTCCATCAAATCCATTTCTCTTGGAAACCCAGCTTCTTGTTACATACCCAAGAGGGCCTGCAGCCAGAACACATCGCTCTATATCCAATCCACTCATTAGGACATAGACTCCTCTACCTATATCCCCCATGACGTGGGAAGCTGGTGGTTGCCAAGTGTAACATAAGTATAATAAGACATTAGTCAATTATGCAAACCAGGCGAAAAGTGACAACAAAAAACATATGCCTTTAACTAATTAAAAACAAAACACAGATTTTGCTCAGCTAAGAGTATTCACACAGGTTGGAAAGAGAGAAAAGGGGTTATATACTTGTACAGAGAACCATGATGGCAAACTGCTTTCAAAACTGGCAGCAAAAACTGTACTCCTTAGAGAGAATGGAAGTCACTGGCCTTTCTCAGACATGACTTGTTGATGCCAGAGGATCCATAAAGACTTTAAAATTTCATAAAGGAGACATTTTATCAGCTTCAGGTGAGATTCACAATCTAATACATATGATGTGGTAAAAGGAACCATGCTAAACGGATTTGTTTTGCTTCGACTAATATAATATTTTGCTATTCCATATTGCACTGCAAACGTGGTTCTCTGTTTAAGAACAAAATCCTTGATGACATCTTTGGTCTTTAATGCCTCACGGAAATTTTCAATTTATAAGGGGTTTTTTAAAAGACAGATTTCAGACTTCAGATGTTTACACCAAACTTATTTCACCATTTCAATCACATCAAATTTCTCTCTTTTGTTCATTACTTAATTAAGTTAATATATCTCTTTGTCTCTGATGAACAAAGCTCTTTTGACTAAATAAATGTCTATAAAACCATACCTCAATGAAGGTTTAGATCACCTTATTTATAATGTCAACCATTAAATCCTTACATCTTTTTATTTTATTTTCTTAGGCTAATCAGAGACAATAACATTAACAAAAATTAAGAACCTTTTGTTTAACAGGATACTTTCAAAAAAATACTGACAAAATATTTGTCAGATTTGGGTTGATTTTGATTTAAGGGAAGGATATACAGATGAGTCCTATTCATTTTTAAGATGCTATCCTCCCGTGTAAATCAAGAGAACGCCCCTCAATGAAGTCCTGCTGTTCCTTTATTCCTCCTTTGTACATTGTGCAAGTAACAAAGAACTCCATCCACAAAATTTTCCAAATCTACAAATCACATTTTTGGGAACCACAACAGTGCCTTTATAGACATAGATGGCACACCATATCAATAAAAAAAAAACCTGCTTGTGGATGATGGCATAACCAAAGCTTTGGAAGCAGGGGACAATGGGCTGGCATTTCAGTGTGATATCTTTTCAAGCTTTGCAGGCCAAGAAAACATGATTAAGTCAATAGATACTGCCTTACCCTATCGGACCACTGCTTAACACAACTCTTTCAAAATCCAGTCCTGACATTAGGACATATACACCTTTGCACTCCCCACCCAGAACATTGGTTGCTACAAAATAAAGAACAGCAACAGGAAAAAATTATGTGAGATATGGGGACATGCCAAATTTCAGTCCATTATACAAAAGATCGATTAATTCCTACTTTAATTGCTTTTGAAACATCCAAAAAGTACCAGGGTTACTAGGGGATTGCAAATAAAAGGAATGACAGTAAAGAACTGTATTCCTAATCTATTTAAACCCCCCAAAAATGTTGATAAAAAAGATGGCCGTCCAGAGACAATTAAGCAACTTTACACAGGTAAACATTTCAAACTTATTTATACATTATGACATTCAAGTTGTTATTAGCAAAATAAGTTTTAAGATACTAACCAAAGGTTTTTTTTCCCCAGTAACAATCCCCCCTCTCCCCTTTCCCCACAAACATACGTTTTCTTACATGAGATTCACAATTGAACTGCACTGTTTTACTCTTTTTACAAAGTATGGAAAACATAAAATCGAATATAAATCTAGGGGCTACTAACAGAAACAAGCTCTTCTATTTGTTCTTAAATGTGGAAGGATGTCATCTCAGATTCACAAACAAATGTTTTCATAGATCCTTGAATGAACAGACACTGTCATATTGGAATCCTCTGAAGAAAACTGAACAGTTTTGTGAGTCATTTTAATTTCATCATAAATAAAAGGTTCAAATGCTGTCAGCAAAAAAGGGAAATGCTTACGATTCTCGACTGAAACTGAACAAAGTCTGAAATGTTCCCAAATATAGGAAATGAGTCTGGTACATTTTAACATTTTAAGAGTGAGGAAAAGATGTCATCCAGGATTGACAACTGAAGCTGACAAAACATTCTTTTGTCCTCACCCAACAGGTGCAGCAGCACCTAAACCTCTCTCAATGTCCAACCCCGACATGAGAATATAGACACCTTGGCCTTCTCCTCTTAACACATTGCTCGCTACACACAACGAGAATCAAAAACACATGTTATAAAGAGGGGATGTAGATTTTTTAAAACCCAAATGAAACAAAGAGTTAAAATTGCCTTTTACTATGGAAAATATATTATATGAGAGATTGAAAACATTTTTGCTTGAAGATAAGACTAAACCCAAAGCCTTTCCTTTAAACTGAAAATCAAGTCGCTAAGAACATACCTCACTTGCTATAGATATAAAATGTCTGTGACCTCAACCCCTTCATTGCCTTGCTTGGGATGCAATATATATTTATACCAGACCCAATAGTTGTGAGTCGCAGGTTCAAGGATTTCAGGCTCAGCTTGGCCCAAGGTGCCCTTGAGAAAGGCACTTGACATTTATTTTCCTCACTTCATTCAGTTGTCAATGGGTTTTCGACCATAGAAAGCAAAAGATCTTGTCAGTATGCTAGCATTTCAGTGCCTTTAAAATGGCAGTTTACACTGTCAGATCTGCTGGGATTCTAATATAGATTGAAAAGCACATGGAGCTAGCTTTTGATAGGGAATTTGCACTATCCAAAAGTGATTTACTATTTATTATCAGTAAATAGGACTATATGAGTACAGGCCTGGGGTTGAGGTAGAGCAGGTATTTTCACTGAATTTAGGAAAACACAAGATGGCAACAAGACTGAACAGGTGTGGCAAAACAAACATTTCGTGATCAAAAACTTGCTTGTAACAGGATGACCTTTCTTTTACAACCCGCCTGAGCACTGTAACAATTTTGCTGCTTTAAACATGCTCTGATGCAAGTTGTACGAAGTAGAAGTCTATGAGCTTAGGGACTCTCTGAAGGCAGTCCTCTCTCATTTGAGTTACAATTCGCCATTTACAATTAACACCTCAGAAAACAGTTGTTAAAAATTACGACTAAGATCAGCTAGCAAATCTCAGTTGTGGCATTATCAGAACTCAAAGGAAAATTAACTAGGCACAATCAACACAGGAGAAAATGTGAGGGTAGGGAGGGACATCCTACAATTTAGCATCATTTCCTTAGCCAACGGGCATAGCAGCGACCACCCCACGTTCAATGTCCAGCCCTGACATAAGAACAAAGACACCCTGGCCCACTCCTCCCAAAACATTTGAGGCTAGGAATGAGGAGCAAAGGCCACAAAGTTACCGAAGAAAAGACAATCAAAAAAATAAGTCCGCTCTCATTTCAGTTACAATTCCCCCTTTACAATTAACACCACAGTAAACAGTTATTAAAAATTACAATTTAAATCAGCTAGCAAATCTCAGTTGTGGCATTATCAGAACTCAAGGGAAAATTAACTTGGTACTCCATAACACAAACAATTTTTCACACCACTTATCAGATATACATCATAAGAACAATGCTGTAGTAAAGAATTGACACTGATCACACATTATCATGGGAGAAAGTTTTCACAATCCTCATGACTGAAAACTGAAGGATCGTTGATACACATTAATTGCCTATTTTAATCTGTAATACCGTTGCCTCTATAATACAACTTTCGCAACACAGAAGGCACTACACATCCACAGTGTCTTGCCCCCCCCCCTCCCACCCCCTCACAAATAAAAAAGTAAACAAAAGTAAAATGGGGAAAAAAAAGAAAGAAAGAAACTAAAGGCAAAAAGAAAAGAAGGAAGATTTTATTGAAACAGTCCTCCTCCTATCAGTACATTATTCCAGCTCTGAAGCTTCACTGTTGTGTTGAAGATTAAAGCCTCATTAACTCAGGTCACGTGCAAGGAACAACACTTGCTCCCTGCCGGGACACTAGTCTGAAAGGAAATATTCCAAGAAGAATGAACAAAAAAATATATGTCCCCGACCACACCATAGCAACCAGTCCATATTTCTGCCCAAAAGAAACTGATTGACTCACCAGGCACAACACAGTCTTCAAAAACCAGCTCACTCGTGTTCGAACCTCGCATTCCAAGCTTATCCAGCTTAGGACTTGCAGAAAACCCTTTCATTCCCTATTGAGAAAAATAAAAGAATATTTAAAAAACTTCTAATTACATGTATATATATGTACATAAAAATTAATATATTATTGTGAAAAAAAGTTGAGCACTACAAAAAGACTACAATTCTTTGATTTGAAAATGAACACACAAACAACGGTTACTAGAGAGGGAGAACAGTACGACAGACAAATATAAGATCTACCAGAAGCAAATTCCAACCATCCACGGAGGGAGAAAAATCCATAAAACTAAACCATCAGAAACTCTACAGTGTTGGACCAAGGGTAGAGAAAAATCGAGGACCATGACTCCTAAAGTCAGTCAGCAATGAATTTGACGATGATTATGATGATGATCATAAGGAGATGCTCTGTTCAAAGACATTGTTCTTTAGATTACAGTGAGAAAATATTAAGGAACCGCAAGTATATTCATCATGGAGCAGGGCCGGCCCAAAGTCACATAGAAGTACTTTTCAGGAAGAAAAAATGTATCTCACAATATACACAACCTTTAACTCTTATCTCCGCAGGGGGGAGGGGGGGGGGGGTAAACCCAGGGGCCCTTTTTTGGTAATAAACCTAAAAATGACAAAAACGTCACTGAATTGGTCATTAAATCAAAACAAATCAACCTATTTTTATAGATCTTCATCTATCCCCATAAAAGAGACCAGTAATTTGATGTCAAAGTCCTTGTAAAGAAATGTGCCCAAGCCGCTGCCAGTGGCTCACAGGTAGAGTGGTTCCAACCCCGAGCCACTGGGAGCGGCTTGCCGGAAATAAAGAGTTAAGAATGAAGGCAAATTCATTGAATAAATGGCAAATAATACCTTTCCAAATAATGCCATGGGTGAGGTAAAAGGAGCGATATACTAATCTTGGTAAAAAAGTTTGCTAACAAAAGTTTAATTATGCTGTCTTGACTTTCCTAAGCTAATATACCGCAAAAGAAATCTTAATTGAAAACTATTTAAGTAATTTACTTTTCATTTTACTACCCCCCCCCCCCCAACCACCAGATTCTTATGCTTTCTGCTCCCAATTCACTGTACTCCTATACACATGTAGAAACATGCATATCTATATTCCTACAACTACATGTACTCATATTCTCAAGCACAAACATATTTTCCATCTACATCCTTCTACATAAAGACAAATTATAAAACGACAAAATATGAAAAAAATTTGTGGACTCAAGCCAAAGCACATACAACCTTTATAGAGGACTCAAAAATAAAAATAAAAATTAATGAAACAGAGACAGTCCACCTTTTGTATGATGAAAGCTGTGATTCCATGCTGAGGCTTGGGGTTCTGCGGGTCTGTTTTGGCGTACACAACCAAGGTGTCAGCATCTGGGCCATTTGTGATCCAAAACTTTGAGCCGTTCAATACATACTCATCACCTTAAGGATACAAGAAAGCAAATGCAGTCCATTAGAGATAACTAAAAAAAAAATAGAGACCATCTCAGGTTCAGTTTCAGTTTTAGACAGTGCTTTACGGCACTTGTAATACAATAAAGTCATATAAGTGGGGAAGAATAGAGGCCTTAAAGGGGAGTAACATACACCAAAAAAAAGGAGCGATAGATGTTTGATAGTAAAGGAGCAGACCACACCAGAACATCCGCCAACCACCAACCATCTCAGGTTCATACATCAGGAGCACTCTTGCTTTATTTTTAGTAGAGGTTTTACGGCACTCCCAACTGCCTAAGGCCATATGAAAACCAAGGGATGGATGTCAACAGAGAAGTCTTTACAGGGAATCGGGAATACTCTGCTCACCTCTCGAGCTTCAAAAGCACAAAGTCTGCTTCGACTATCAATGGACCCCGGAAATAGCGGGTCACAAGAGTGTAACAAAAATGCAAAAGAAGTAGAGGAAAAAATGACGATAGTAAGGATTAGGAATGAAAAAGCAGCAGTTCCCTGTTGCTGTTCAGGCACAATTACAAGCATGACATTGATGAATCAGCCCATCTGTGCATAATAACATATTGATGTACCCCCTTTGGGAATGGTCTAAAGACACTTCAGTCCATAGCACCACCCGTGCGGTAGCACTCTTGTTACAACACCCAAAGAATACAGGGACTGAAGAAGTGGGACAGGAAACAAAGAGATTAGCGACAGTGACCAGCCTTAATTTTTTCACCCCTAGTGGAGAACTTTCATAATGAGAAGGAGATCATTTACAAAAGTTTCTTTTTATAAACCGTCTTAACTTCTTCCTCATAGATGCAGCTTTGAAGCAGCTTCTTATACAAGTTGTTGTTTTATGACTCCAGAAAGCAGCAAAATATACAATTTAAGTCTGACAATATAATTTCTACATAGAAGTAACGAAAAAGTGAAACTGTAAACTCTTTTCTTCCATTCAGAGCAAAAAGAATATTTCATATCCCTCTGAATCAATATATCATTGAAAAATATACATTCGAGATGCATTCTTGATATTTAGTTTTCTTATTCACAGTACTCTTAAATGAAAATGTGATGTGCATATCATCATCAACTGTGCTGTCATAGAATGAATGTCTGCTTACGTGTCAGTGTTAATCTGAAGAGTGTATGTATGCAAGTTTATGCACATGTAATTTGTGCTAAGTTGAAAGTATTAAGGCCTAGAGCTGTATTTTACAGGAGTGGGTGCTATGGAAATTACCTGCATTATCATTATCATATCTTACCTTTTTTCACTGCTGTGAGTTTCATGGACACAACATCTGACCCAGCACCGGCCTCACTCATTGCAAGGGCGCCAACATGCTCTCCTGATATAAGCTGCAACAAATTGGTGAGAATAAGGTTAGGGACCCAAGATAATGACAGCAACATGGTCTTTAATTTTGGTAAGAGTTTTACAGCATTTGCAACACAATTAGGGTGAATAAGTGCCAAAGATCAGAGGAGTTACAAGAGACTGACATAAACAGAATAGAGGGGAGATGAGGACAATAGATGTTTGATAGGAAAAAAGAAGCAAACTACACCAGAGCACCTGCTAACCACCCACTTACATGGTCTGATTAACTGACTCATTAAGTACCTGAACACAGGTGTTTAATAGCAGTCTTTATCTTCATGGCAAGGCCATCGCGGTCAGCATGTGTAAAGTACACTATAGTGAAAACTCACTACTGTCACATTTAAAGGTGTCAAAACTGAGTAGCAAAACAGTAGCACTATGCTGTTAATCTGGAAATTGCTTTTTAAGGACTGTAGAAGCATGTTTATAGTTTAAACACAAACAATTAGGGTGTTGCTGACACCACCAGCCTCTAAGTTCAAACTGAACAGAAAGAATCAATCTACAAGCAAGAGTGGAAACAAGCTTTTAAGCCTGGAAGTCTGAAAGAAAGTAAGTAAGAAAGAAAGAATTAAAACAAGGAAGGAAAGAGAAAATGAAATGAGAACAGAACAAGAAAGACAAAATGATATTTACTTTACATTGGTGCATATTTTCATTCACATAAAATAAAAAATTCCCCTAAATTCATTAACCATATCCGTACGTCAGTCATGTCTTACTATCGTACCTATATATGATGTGGGGAACTCTGTGTCACCACTTTCCAAAGTGGAATTTTACTCGTTAATCCGATCCGTACGCTTTGCACAGCAGTCGGTCAAAATGATTTTTTGAGAAATACTGAAAGTCTCAAGGAAATCTTCGCACTAGAAGTATTCTAAAATGTGAAGAATACAACCCCGGGGGTACAAAGTGACTGCAGGGCATATGGATAGGGTGTTTACACAATTGCTGGCCACTGTAACTGAAGTTTCAATAAAAAGCCAAATTTTCAAAATGATATTTTAACATCTGTATGACATAGCATTCCACTGGCAGTTCATATTCAATTCAGGAATTAATTCAGTTCCAGTGTTCACCGAAACTTCACAGGAATAATGTACTCCATTTTCCTCCATTCAACTGCCTGAAATAGAGCAGTTGATAACTGACAGAAACACTACATTAAATTAAAGGAACAAAAATCAGTAAACTGCGAACAAACTGCTTAATTGTACGTCCCAAAGGGAACTGAGATAATTACTAGAACAGGCAAGACCATCAAAGTGTGAAGAATTCTGGGTCTTCTAGATATGGACAAAAAAATTATAAAATTTAAGTAATTTTTGTACACCAAAATCCAGGCACAAAAGATAAAATCTCACCTTCGGCAGGTACTTCATTTTCTGTTCCTCATTTCCATTGCGCACAATCTGGTTGACACACAAGTTTGAATGAGCACCATAACTGAGAGCCACAGAGGCAGATGCTCTGGAAAGTTCCTCCATCACAAGGCAATGATCTAAATAGCTCATCTCTGATCCCCCATACTTGCCTGGGAAGGCCAACACAAGGAAAAAAATTAACAGAGAACACTATTATAGAAAAAAGACTTTAAAAAATATGACAGAAACCACTTCCACCTTAAAACTAACTCCCTTAAATAAATATAAAACATATTCATGATAACAAAGACTCACTTTAAATGTCAGCATTTTCCACTAAATTTATGTACCTTCCACAATAATATATCTTTATGTTTTTTATAGTTATAACACACTCACACCAAGATTCAGTAAGCAATTACATTTTCCACCCTAAATGCACAACAGTAGTACATAGGGTAAGAAAGATTGCATCTAAAGAAACCTATGAACATAAACATTTTTCTTCTTGTGACAACACCATTTAGACGGCTACAATATTACAGCAGGGTCCATTTACAAGATAAATGAAATACAGAGAACAAGGGATTAATGAAACAACGCTTGATTACACCTTTATTTCAAATTTTATTGGCTGTTACAAATAAGTAATGTGTCACGATGCAGTGGAATCAATCATCAGGCGCTCATTAATTTTTGGGCCTACAGAGATATCAGTATAAGTTAAAGTTTGTTCACTTGTCTTGCTCCCGATTAAAAAAAGGAAGGAAATTGAAGGAGGCGGGGGTTGTCTGGTATCAGCCGCAAAATTACTGAAAAAATGGCCACCAAAGTTTGGTGGCTTTCATAGCTTGAGTCCTTGGACACTATAAAGATTTACATTTGCATGCTCTTTAATCAACATTTTTCAGTAAAATCCACATAGAAATGTGTTTTTAAATGGACATAAAAGATGTTGAGCCAAAAAATAAAAATTTCATAAAAATTGCGAAACCATTTTAAAAAATGTCAGTTTCTTCGATTTCATTATTTTGACGAGCGCCTGATTTCAACACGATGCCTCATATATAGAGAAAAACAAGACTCGCAAAGAGAAATTTTGTTAACAGTGAGAGAATTGTAACTCATGTACTAACAACAGAATACACAACTGTCATGTGGTGGTCCATCAAGCAAACCATGCTACATACACTGAAAAGAATTTCTGAAGACAAAACATAACATCCCTGACAATCACAGCTCTGAAAAGGAAAATTCCAGGAGGGACAGGCAAAATTCCAACCAAACTTCAATTTGGACCTCAAACTCCTGTATGCTAGTCAAGTTTATAATCAACTGTGTCAGGAAAGCTGGATTGCAGTCGAAATTTTAACTATGCAAAAAGACAACAATGCTTTCAAACAATATCTCTTTCTCTAATTCTCCGGAAATCTTGACTCAAGTCACATTAAATACTTGAAATCTTTACTAAAAAATATTTTCCCTCCTCTATACTTTATTCTATATATAAATATTTTATTTAAAAATTGACAGGTGTCTATTAGAAAGAAAAAAAAACATGAATTGACGCTAAACAAGGAAAGAGATTCTCTTACTTGGAGCTGTGATTCCCAGCAGACCCATATTGCCACAGTCCAGCCAAAATTGCTGAAACAACAGGATTAAATCTGTATCAATTCAGGGACAAGAAAGCCTCCATCACTTCAAAACAAAAGATCACTTTAAAGACACCACTCTCCCTCTCACACTCATACATATTCCTATAGGCACAAGGCAAACACCAGCATATATAGCACATAAACAGGATATTGTATAAATTCATGGACAAGAAAGTCAGCATTGCGTCAAAAATCACTGTAAAGATACAACTCTCCCTCTTTCTCTCATAAACATCTTCTTGTAGGCACACAGTACACAGAAGATTTCACCAATCGATCCTCTAGCTGAATCGCTGGACTGTGCTTGGCCAAATAAGCTTGCGGAATTCAATCATCAATGTCTACAGGAGATAGCAAAAATATTTAAGCAACAGTCCAAGTCTCTAATCCTTAGATGCCACATCATGTCGCATTCTAAATGTGCCCTACAAAAAGATTTTTTCCAGGGTCAGGGAGGAACAAGAAGAGAACATGCTCTGAGCTTCATACCTCAAGCCTAATTTTATAGTCTCCTTTTGTTTATAATTTTAACATGATTGCTTCCAGTGAACATTTTACTTTGTGACTTATAATGATGACTTTTACGGTCAAGTTGGCAGAGAGCAAACGAGGGGGTGGGGGACAAACATGATAGACACATCGAAACAAAAAAGACAGTAAAATAAGGCTCACCTTCATGTCCTTAAAATCATTTTCCTTGTCAATCTGTTCAGCTTTCGGGGCCAGTTCTTTCTGAGCAAATTGGAAGATGGTCTCTCTCAACTGTGTCATTTTTTAAATAAAAAAAATTAAGGAAGACAATCAGTAATGATAATGATATCTAGACAGAATATAGCAGCCTTTAATTTTTAAACAGAAATAACAGTGGTGGGGTGGGGAGGGAAAAGAGGAGTGACAGGGAAAGGGGAAAGAAGAGGGAAAGTGGGAGGGAGAGGGGAAGGGGTAGCCAGGGAAGCAACTAGAAGACTTTATCTCATTTCATCTCTTGGAGTGTGAGGGATTTCAATCAGAATTTGTTGGATGGGGTTTCTTCCTTTAATGAAATTCTGATCAAGGGTGTTACACAACAAAGGGCATCATAGTAAGATGAGAATTAATTTTGTTTTTAAATGAGTAGCCTATTTCGATGAAATATTATACTTAACGCTGTTAAAATCCCACGAAAAGTGGTGCTTTATTTGGTGACTGAGCCCCGGTCTGATCTCCCACGTTCCCACGTGGAGGTAATAAATCAGTGACTGTCGGCCACTCTCACTCTTATTACGCTTAACAACCGTAACGATAGCGATGCCCACCGCCGTGACAGCGTAACTCAATTCCGGAAATTTTCGTATCACTTTCCCTCATTATTTCTCCCAATCTGACAAACCTAGAAGCCTGTTTAACATCTCATTTTAAAGATCATCTCAAGACTATCAAGTTCGCTTCAGAAATCTCACAGGTGTTAGAGCATTTCACTTTGCAGTAAAAGTGTTTTGTTCATCTAACGTTGTGTTTTAAATTATATTCCATTTTGGAGTTTATTATATCTCAAAAACCAAACCCACGATTTTCAAGAAATTTCTATGCTTCACTTCAGACAGCAATACTTGAACTGTGTGAGTAAGCATTATTTGTGCAAAAAGAACATGTGATTTTATATGATTTTTTTTTAAAAGGGTACCCCCTTTCCAATGATTCGCTCGGACATGATCTTTCATTTCTCTTCCAGAATCTAGAATTGTGTTATTTTCCCAACATTTCTCTTATCCATTAAAAAAAATATTTTAGCCCAGTTGAGAAACAGAGAACACAGAGGATTTGCATTTTGAAAAGCTGCATGAACTTTGCAGAACTTGAGGTGGCCGAACACTGTCAGTCAGGCAAGCAGAAGGCACAGTAAATGCAATCAGAGGAAGACTGTAAAGGAGTTCAGCTGTCATTACACAAAAACTGGAGTTGTGGGGAGGAATTAAATGCAAAGATTAGACATTTAGAAGGTTGCGTAGTATTTTCTGAATCTGAAGAAGAGAGAATTAACTTTCAAGAACAATTGACAGAGAAAGAAGACAGGTTGTCTGAGTTAGAGTATGAAACCCTTAGACCTAGGACTGGCCCTATCTATTCTCATTTAGACAGCATACTTGACTCACACAACATCACACCGCAGGCATATATAACGGCCACTCTTTCATTGGCAATCACTGTCACAAATACATCATGAGTCGTGTTTATAAAGACCTCACTGCATCTACTGTAAAAGAAACAGTAGAAAACACTCACAAACAAAACATGATTGACATCGCTTACACTCTCAGTGGAAAATTGAATCAATTAAACAAAGCATGTCGGGGCATTCCATTCACATCCACATCTCACATGGCAACCAGTGCCAAAAGACAGACTACCACACATTGACTGTTGTGATGCAATCTCAGCACCTCATGTCAAAATATCTGAATATTCAGATACACTTCAGTTGTGGTTGCGGCAACGTTCCCGGACTATAGCACACTTCATTTGAAAATACCTTCAAAAAGTACAGCGAGAAAATAAGACTGCTTGACCTTGGCAGAGTAATCTATTTTGCATTTAGTCACCCAGCAAAAACTAAAATCCTTTTTAAGATATATAATAGTGTTTAAAAAAAATCCCTCCACGCCCCCCCCCCCCCCCCCCTTCTCGTTCACACCTTACACACACATCGATACACACACACATGCACACTCACACACACACACACAGGCCACTCCATTCGCTTATTATCAACAAATCTCGAGAATGGAAACCATTCGCCTCGACTTCGGAGAAATAGAGTTCAAAGTTTTTTTTCCCAGAGCCCGCCTAAAAAATAAGGGTAGTGTCAATTGCCACCGAGTGACGCGGTGGCAATTGACAAAACGGAGGGTCTACGTACACGGTAACCGGGCGCGTAGCCTCAGGGTCTACGTACACGGTAACCAGGCACGTAGTCTCAGGGTCTACGTACACGGTAACCGGAAGGTTCAAGAGATAGATCACTCAGCCCACAGAATTATACACTTAAGTGTAGAATTCTGTGACTCAGCCAAAAAGAGTGTCACTATTATTGTTTTTCACACAAGTAGGGTAGATTCTAAAGTTCGCGCTTTTTCGAAGAGGGTCAACCGCTCTATAGTCCAGCATGATACCCACTAAATTTCATAACAGAGCGTCCAGTAAGCCTTTACTTTCGCTTTCGTTACCACCCAGAAATTTGTCAGTAATTGTCTGATAACGCAACAATTATTGTAACATGCAGGTTCGGCATTACAAATGAGGTGTCGCCATGAAAGTAAATCAATATTTGTCACTGTGTCATCACTTATAGTTATAGGGGCAGCATGAAGAAAAGAAAGTTATACAAGCGTCTTGTCAGGCTCGCCATTGTGGCCGGTCAATGAACCTGCGCGTGTTCTGAGCGCTGCGAGGTACAGGACTCTGGAATGGGGAGGGGGGGGGGGATTATTGATTTTTTTTAAAGACCTCTACGCACTCGGGGATAGGGGAAGGGCTGGACGCAACACCAGTGGACCAAAAAAAAAACTGAAACTGGAAGCAAATACGTTTAATGTTTAGAATTTTGATAACTACTACAGCTCTCTGCTAAGTAAAGTGTGCGTGGGTGCAGGCCTTGTGTGAAAACGGCCTAAGTGTTCGCGTTTCATTGGATTGGTGGCAGCATATTTAAGCTTTCTGTACAAGATTCGCAGATTTTCAGTACCACTGCATCTTGCCCTCCAACAGTTCTTACACCTCTCACACTGAATAGGTCTACTTGGGCTATTCTACTGTACTTTGAGTTAGAGCATTAATTTTTGTCTTTCACGTTTATTATATAGGCCTTTTTATGATATGAATCATGACAGTCGATATTCTGGTTCTAGGCTCAAAGCAAGATTCATTTTTATACGTAGTTTATATATATACAGGCGAATATGATGAAGGGAAAATATTAATAAGTCGTACAAGACCCCAGGCGCCACCATTTTCTGTACGTAATCAAGATTGTAAATTTGGTGCGTGACTCTTACTTTAAATTGTCTTCCAAACCCTCAAATTGGTGTGAAATAACCTTGCTTTGATAAATTGATGGTTTTCATTTCAGCATTCTAGGGTTCAACAGTATAATAATAATGGGTGTTTCGCGAAAATGATCTTCTGTGGCGATCACCCGGAAAGTTCCTCCTTTTTTAGAATTCTGAGTTGAGACCCATGTGATTTAAATAAGATTAAATGGGTTTTCAAAATGCTATGATGTCACACCCTTTGGTGCATAAAAGCAAGCATTAGACCAAATACTATAGCTTTTGGGTGTTGACCATAGCTAAAGATGTACTTTTCCATGTTTTATTTTGACTGCCTTCTCTAGTTTTAATATGTCCTGGGTCATTCATTTTTTATTTGCTCTTTTAGCTTTCATATTGTTTTATCCAATGTGTATGTTGTGTGATTTGTGTGTGTTTAGAGACAGAGAGAATATCATTGTGAGGCTGTGGAGATTTTTGTTTATAATGTAACTACATGTAGTCAAGTCTACTTCTGACAAACTCAACCGATAAAGATTTCCTCATATCGTTTTATCCAATGTGTATGTTGTGTAATTTGTGTGCGTGTAACATGCTAAGTATTAAATATATTTAGAGGCTATTCACACGTGTATATGTATGATATGTGTGTGTGTGTGTGTGTGCGTGTGTGTCTCCCTCTCTCTCTCTCTCTCTCTCTCCCCTCCCCCCCTCTCTCTCTCTCTCTCTCTCTCTCTCTCTCTCTCCCTCTCTGTTTATGTATTTTTGTGTGTGATTGTAAGTGTGGTGTGTGTAAAGATAGTATTAATGGGTGGTTGGTGGGTGCTCTGGTGTGGTCTGCTCCTTCTCTCCTATTCAACATCTATCATCCTTATATCTTTCTCTTCCTTCTTTTTGTGTTTGTTACTCTCTTATAACACTAACACCTCTAATCTTCGGCACTTATATAAACTTATTTTGTTGCAAGTGCTAACTCTTTCGAAAACAAAAGATAGTTTTAGGTATGAACAGGGCGCTCTGGCGGCAAGTGTAAGTGTATGCGTGTTACCGAAGCTCGATCTACTTTCGCTTTCTTTGGCACCCAGCTAAAGCAGTCTGATTAAAGCAACATGTGTAACATACAGGTTGTGCTTTACAAACGCTGTGTCGCCAGGAAAATAAATCATTGTCCTGTGCTTTCACTTGCGGAAAAAAAAAAAGTTATACAAGCGCTTGTCGGGCTCGACATCGTGACCGGTCAAGGAACATGTACTTTCGCATCACAATGTGAGTACCAGTGATCGCATGGGGTCACCAAAGTTCATTCAACGTGTGCGCTGTGCGAAGTATAGGGCTCCGGAATAGGGGGATTATTGATTTTTTGAAAAGGTACAGCCGGGGGGAGGGGTGGGGTTGAAGGCAACATCGGATGACAAAAACTGAACTTGGAAGCAAATTTTAGTATTTAAAATTTTGATTATTACTAGAGCTTCCTGCTACGGAAAAGCGTGCATTGGTGCAAGCCCTGTACGGAATAGGGATCCGTCATACTCATACCTAGTAAGCCATGTTTTTTTAACCAAAAGGTCTGCGTTTCATTGGATGGGTGATAATCAAGGATCCCCTTGTTTCATTGTCCTTTGTATGACCATATCAAGAGCATATACTTTTTAAATTCTCTTTCTCTCTTTCTCTCTCTTCCTTCCTCTCCCTCTCCCTCTCTCTGTTTTCTGAGTCTCGTTCTCTCTCTCTCTCTCGTGATAGTATTACATGTTTTGTTCCAGATTCGCAGATTTTCAGTGTCACTTCATTTTGCTCTCCCTTAGGAAAGATGACAGGGGGTAGATTGGGGTCATTTTTGGATATATTTAGGGACAGAGAGGCGAACGCACAACACCGAGCACTCGAACACAGCTAGATCTACCCACCAACGCAAAAGAGCTCCAAGGGAAG